GTGTTCTGTAGTGTCACAATTACAGTATCAATTAATCTAACCTAACAAGAAAAATTAAAGATGGTTATAAAAAATTGATGGGAAAACTAAAATGAGAAGAATTAACCTGAAGCAGACTCTAAAACTGATACTACTGCTAAGGGTGCGCTGAATCAAGGAGAAAGGCTACTCCAGAAAAAAATAGTGAGTACCCAAGTATTATCCTCCTGTTAAACCTCCATTTTTTTTTTTTTAATACCTAGCATAGAGTTAAATAGGGGGTAAAACGTAAAATATTGTGTTTACTTGATTTTTACCTATGCACTAATCTAACTAATGTATATAAACATAATAAAACTTATCTGAAATTTTTTTTTTTAAAAGGAATTTTCTGAACTTAATTACTTTAATTGTAGCTAGATTTAAGTCCGTACGATGCACGGGTTTCTATTAATAAAATTAAAGTTCACGCATATATAAACACGGTATATTTTGTAAATGGTTTGTTTAAACAACAATACAAACCAATTCTTGAAGAAAAATCGAAAGAAAATAAATATGTGAAATTATATGTATTTGTTTAACCAACTTTTTTTTTCAAATTGTGAACACGGTGAAAATATAATCTTCCAGGCTTCCATCATCCTTTGTAAATCAATCGTTGATCGTGTCAGTTGATAAGTTGCATAATTAAACCCTCCCCCTAGCAAAATAAACATCCTTGCAAAATTAACACTTCTGATTGAACTGACTTTTTAATTATGATCATCGTTCATTGCATGGGACATTAGATTAATTTATATAGGATTTAAAATATACTGGATTTAAAGTGGTGATAAAGTTTATTATTAGATATGATAAATTTTTCTTTAAGAAAAAAATATGATTAATTTTGTTAACGTAGAACTTAATCTTTTAGACGAATAAATGATAAAGGATTCATTTCAACGATTTTTTCTTATATATATATATATATATATATATATATATATATAAAGAGAGAGAGAGAGCTGTTATTTATTCGTTGTACTATATCATATTATCATTTAATATTTTTATTTTATTTATTTAAAATAAATTGTGAATTTATCTCATTCGTTATATATTTAGATGAAATTCCTAATATCAAAAGATAATATTTTATATTTAATTAATTTAAACTTTAAAATCTCATTCACTAATTTCACGCATTTGAATTATTTAATTCTAAAAGAAATTACAAATCTCTTATTTAATTAGAATTATTGCCTATTTATAGTAATAACAAATCATAAGATGAAATCAATTCATCAAATAAATGACAAATGATGAACATTTTTTTTTTGCTAGAAAAAGAGAAAGGATATACTTTTAATTTCAATGATTTTTTTTTTCTTATTTTTTGTATCTAATCCAATTTTTTTTTTTTTGAGAAAACTGTTTTTTTTTCTTTAATTGAACGTGATTTCATTTTTTTTATTAGTATATTTTTATAAAATATTTTATTATAATCACTTATCATTTTTTCATTATCTTTTTTATCTAATCCAATTTTTTTAAAATATCAATTGAACATGATTTTCATTTTTTAAGTTTAATAGTATTTTTTTTATATATACAAAATAAAATAAATTGTTTCTTTTCACTTAGATAAAATTTCCAATTTAAAAAGATAGTATTTTATTTTTGTAATAAATTTAATTTTTTAATTTTAATCTTACGTGGCGCTTTAAAATAACAATCCTACGTGGCATAATCCTACACGTAATGCTTTAAAGTAACAATCCTACGTGGCATAATCTTATATGTAACGCTCTAAAGTTCTAATCCTACATGGCGCTCTAATATTTATTTAAAAATCAAAATCCTAGGTGGCTCTCTAAAATCTTGGGAAAAACTCCCTTTTATATATATAGTAGATGGAAGCCCGCGCGATGCACGGTTTTTTCATCTAAGATTTTTAATTATTTGATTTATTGTATTTAATAATTTCAGACAAAATTACAAAAGTTTAATATTTATTTATTTTTACTATAATTTATAATGAATATATTAAATATAAATAAATTGTAAATATGATAATTTTTCCGTTATATAAAATCTTTAATGTGAAATGATAAATTTTTAATAACTTCAATCCTAAATCATTATTCATTGTTTTACCATATCTTTTATTTCGATAGAATCACCAACCTCGTCCACAACCAACCTACTACATCAATGGATAAATTGAACCGTAAAATGTTACCCAAACTGAAATTGATATAAATTAAATCTTTACATTTATACAAAATAAATCAATATATCTACCAATAAATGAAAAGTTGTTGCGATATAAAATCAAATCTATGCATTAAAATTTTTTCATCATCTTCAAAAATAACCAAAGCCATCCATATATTAAGTATACAACATCTAATCGTATGCCATTACATAAACAAATAATCGTTAAGTATCCTAAATAAATACAATGTAACTATAATTACAAATATAAATTTAAACATAAGATTTTAAAAATTACCCGGATATTGATGACCTAAAACTAACACAAAATTACTAATACAAAATTCTTGATGGGGTTTTGTATTAATACGAAATTTTATTTGTGTTGTATGATGTGTTAGATCTGCATGTAAAAAAACATTTAGTAAATAAAACATAAACATATAATCGTTGAGTATCCCAAATTAATACAATGTAAGTAATAATTAGAAATATTAATTTAAACATAGGATTTTAAAAATTAAGCTAAGAATTACCCGGCTATTGATGACCAAAAATTAACACAAAATTCGCTTGATGGGGTTTTATATTGATACGAAATTTTGTTTGTGTCGTATGATGTGTCAATTTATAATGGTAAGTATCACAAATTTTAATTTAATTATAATTAACGAACAATTGGTATTTCTTATCATAAATACTAATTTATCTTATAATGATAGGTATCAAACTTTATTATAAGCGTTTATCATTTAAATATTTTTTAGTGTATTTATTTTGGATTTCTTATACTCGTAGTATTGAATTAATAAATTTATCTTTTTCTATATTTTTACTTAATTTTTGTTCATTAAAATAATTTAATTTGTGGATTATAATCTACGTGGCATTAAAATTTTAGATATATCAAATCTAATTCGTTACTTTTATCTAGGTGGTGACATAATTTTTTATTACCCGACCATTTATGATAAAAAAAATTAACACAAAATTACTAACACAAAATTTGCTTGATGGAGTTTTTTTATTGATACGAAATTTTGTTTGTGTCGTATGATGTGTCAATTTATAAAGGTAGGATCACAAATTTTAATTTAATTATAATTAACGAACAATTTGTATTTCTTATAATAAATACTATCAAAATTTATCTTATAATGATAGGTATCAAACTTTATTATAAGCGTTTATCATTTAAATATTTTTTAGTATATTTTTTTTGGATTTCTTATACTCTTAGTATTGAATTAATAAATTTATCTTTTCCTATATTTTTACTTTATTTTTTTCATTAAATAACTTAATTCATGGATCATAATTTACGTGGCATTAAAATTTTAGATATATCAAATCTAATTCGTTACTTTTATCTAGGTGGCGACATAATTTTGTAATTCAAAAATAAAATACAAATCTTTCTTCTTATTGGTCGAAATAAGTATATTTCTTACGTGGCGCTCCAAATGCTCTCCAAAAATGCCTACTTTATTTATATATATTAGATATTAGACTAGTACGTGTCTCGGGTGTTTTCCAGGATACCCATTTTAGAGAGTGTATTTATTTGTGGGCATGTTTTGTATTATTATTATTAGTAGTATTTATATTTTTTTTAAATAAAAAAAATTGATGATACATGGTCATATTTATAATTATAATTACGTAGTTATTCGTATAGGAGTAAAATTCTATTGTTAATTGGATATTCATATTAATTATAATATGTGATGTGTTTCTATAAGTAAAACTCTATTGTCAATAAAAAAGATAATTTTTTCCAAAAGAATTATAAATTATATATTCAACAAAACATATTTCTTAGGTTTCTCTCTCTAGAATTTCTCTGCTATGGCGAGGAAGAAGAAGGGAAATCAGGCACACAGAAATGGGGCAAGGGAGATGAACTCATCAATGGCGAAGTTTCGGCGCGAAGTCCTTAAGCTGGTGGACATAAAACGAAATCGAAGGGAAATGTGGGAGAAATTCCTCCATTGGAGTTTGACATTGAAGATGAAATTGGAGCAATCTTTGGATGAACTAATCACGAAATCAAGGGAGAAATCGAAGCTATTAGAGTGGATGACTGTATTGCAGCGAAGTGATTCTGGGCAACAGAGGTTGAAAAACAGTGCATCGGCAAATGTTGATGAGGTATCTTCGATTCACCCTATTTCTGAGTTTACTCAATCTAAATTGCATAAACCTGTATTACAATTGACCATGGATGATATTGCTGATGAATTGGATTACTGGAAATTAGGAGTAGTTGCTTTTACAATTGCTGCTAATCCACATATTAAAACTTTTGAAGGGTTTTGCCATCGAATTTGGGGGAAAATGAATATTGATAAAGTAATTCCATTAAAGAGGGGTATATTATTGATTAGATTTCTTAATTCTGAAACTAAAGATAAAGCCCTTGCTTCTTTGAATGTGTTGATGGATAAGAAAGTAGTTGTCTCAGACAATGGGAAGATGGGATCGAATTGGAAATTAATGATGCTAAGGTTCCTGTTTGGGTGCAACTTCCGGGATTTCCATTGAAATGTTGGGGGAAGAATTGCTTAGAGAAGATTGTGGGGTTAATTGGTAAACCTATCAGGCGTGATGCTGCTACTCAATCTAGAGATAGGGTGGCTTATGTTAGGTATCTCGTGGAGATGGATCTAAAATAGGAATTCCCAAATATGATTGAATTTCTAGATGAAAACTTTATCCTGTATGAGCAGAACATTACTTGGGAATGGAAGCCTCAATGGTGCTCTACTTGTGGGGGAATGGGACATGCAGATGGGTCATGCTAGAAAAAGACAGTGAAAATGGTATGGAGACCTATGGTTGTCCAAGCTGTTGAAGAACCCAAGGAGCAGGAGGTGCAGGAATTAGATGTTTTGGTTCCTACTGATCCAGTCTATGAGCCTGTGGGAAATGTGAGAAAGTCGAGTCCAGTTAGAAAATCTGCTACTCTAAGTGCACCTGTGTTGCTTCATAATTCTTTTGATTTCTTGAAAGATGATGCTCAGATCTCTCAGGTAGTATTTGGAGATGTTATGGTGACAATGGATGATACTCTAGATAAAGCTCCTGCCCAGGGGCATGGATAGAGTTATGGTTTGGAATATAAGGGGCTTGAATAGCCCTAATAAACAAGCAGAGATCAGGGATTATATTGCTCAGCATCGTATTGGTCTCTACTGTCTTGTTGAAACTAAGGTGAAGTAGGTAAACTTTTTAGTGGTTTACCAGAGAATTTTTCAGGGATGGTGTGTTACTTAAAACTTTAATAAGGTGCAGGGTGGAAGAATACTGAAAGCTTGGTTAAGTGAGCTATTTGCTGTGGATATTATTCTTTCTGATGCTCAGTTCATTCATACTAGAGTGTTGAACAAAACTCTTAATAAAGGGTTTGACTGTACTTTTGTTTATGGAATGAATGATGCTGAAGACAGGAAGAGATTATGGGATGGCCTCAAAAGCATTTCAAGCAGATGTTCTGGGGCTTGGATAATCTCTGGTGATTTTAATTGTCCTTTATTTCAAGATGATAGATTGGGCAGACCTATTGGTCATCTTGAAATGGCTCCTTTTAAGGATTGTGTTGAATTCTGTGATCTTAAGGATATGGTTCAGGTAGGTGCTAGATATACTTGGACTAACAAACAGTTTGGGGAAGCAAGAGTCTACAATAAGATTGATAGAACTTTGGTCAATTATGATTGGATTGTTTCTTTCCCTAGTTCTTTTGTTCACTACAACACTGAGATGTGGTATGATCATTGTCCTGCTGTTATTTGTTTTGAAGATCAAGGTACTCCTGGTCCCAAGGCTTTCAAATTCTTTGACATGTGGGGCAGTCATCCTCATTTCTTGGAGTTGGTTAGGAATGCTTGGAACACAAGGGTTGTTGGGCAGAAAATGTACCAAGCTCAAGGAGGTTATAAGGTTCTTAAAGGACTAAATAAAACTGAATACTCTGAGATTGGTGCAAGATTTTTGGAAGCCAAAAATGAGTTGCTTGGGATTCAGAAAATGATTTAATGTGATTATTCTAATATTGAGCTTCAGGAGAAAGAGAAATCTAGTCTTGAGAAGTTTTCTAGACTCAGAAAAGATTATTTTGCTTTCCTTCAGCAGAATTCTAAGATCAAGTGGCTTAAGTTGGGTGATGATAACACTGCTTTCTTCCATAAGAGTATCAAAGTTCATTCTTACAAGAAGAAGGTGGTGGCATTTGTAGACATGAATGGAGTTTAGTGTGATAAGAAGGAGCAGGTGAATAAAGCTTTTGTGGATTATTATAAATGGCTCCTAGGCTCTGAACAGGCATGTGACATTAAGGTGGAGCATGACATTATGAGTAAGGGGCCTTTAGTTACAGATGAAAAAGCTGCTATTTTAACTTGTCCTATTAGATTAGGAAATAAAGAAGGCAATGTTTGGTATTCCTGGTATCAAAGCTCCTGGCCAGATGGGTTTAAAAGTTCATTCTACAAAATGGGTTGGGATATAGTTGGATGAGATATTTGTGCAGCTGTTAAAAGTTTCTTTAAAACGGGTAAACTGTTAAAAGAAATTAATTGCACAAATCTGGTGCTTTTGCCCAAAAGAAACCAGCATAACTCAGGTACTGATTTTAGACCAATTGCTTGTTGAAATGTGGTTTATAAAGTAATTACAAATTTGTTTTGCTCTAGACTCAAGAAGATTCTGCCCAATATCATCTCTGACCATCAATCAGGATTTGTTCAAGGGAGGAGAATCTGTCATAATATTTGCATTGTTCAGGATCTGATTGGAAGGTGCAAGAGGAAGAGTTTGCCTGCTGGTTGCATGTTTAAGGTGGATATTAGGAAGGCATATGATTCTGTGGATTGGAATTTTCTAAGAGATATGCTGCTGGCTCTAAGGTTTCCTAATTAGTTTGTGCATATGGTCATGGAATGTGTGTCAACTCCTAGCTTCTCCTTAGTGATTAATGGAGAGGTGTAGGGCTTTTTCAAGGAAAGATAGGGAGATCCTTTATCTCCTCTCTTGTTTGTCATCTGTATGGAGTACCTAACTAGGATTTTTCACGGAATTGAGGAACATAGAAATTTTAAGTTTCATCCAAGGTGTAAGGGTGTGAAGCTGAATCACTTAGTTTTTGCCGATGACCTGATAGTTATGAGTAGTGGTGATGAGAAAGCTGCTAGTTTACTCATGAGGGGTTTAGCTACTTTTTCTGCTGCTTCTGGGTTAGTTGCTAACAATGGGAAGTCAAATGTATATTTATGCAATACAAGTGAAGAGGTGAAGCACAATATTATTAGAAATTCTGGATTGCAGGAGGGGGATCTTCCTTTTAGATATCTGGCTGTGAATGTGAATGCTAAGAAGCTGTCTCATGTTAACTGTCAAGTGCTGATTGATAAAATTGTGGCTAGAATCATAATTTGGGGTGGTAGAACAATGTCCTATACAGCTAGAGTCACTCTTGCTAATGTTGTTCTTATGTCCTTGCATACTTATTGGGCTACTCTTTTCATTGTGCCCAAGATGATTTTGGAGGGAGTTATGGCAATCTGTAGGAATTTCATCTGGGATGGCAAAGCTATTTACAGTAGGGCTCCTCCTATTGCGTGGGATATAGTCTGTAGACCTAAGTAGCAGGGTGGTTTAGGTGCAGGACTGTCTTACTTGGAATATTGCATCCATGGGTAAATATGTATGGGATATAGCAAACAAGAATGATAGCCTTTGGCTAAGATGGGTTAACCATTATTATATTAAAGGCAGGAACTGGAAAAGATTGGGATGTCCTGTTCAAGCAAGTTGGCAATGGAAATAGATATAGAAAGTAAAAGAGAAGATCAAGCATGGTTTTACTAGAGAAAGATGGAATCATAGTCCTACAGGTTATATTGTAGCCAGTGCCTACAAGTGGCTTACGACTAGTCACACTGAGGTTCTTTGGTGCAATTGGATTTGGAACATATATAATATCCCTAAGCATCGCTTTGTTACTTGGATGGCTACTTGGGGAAGGCTCAGAATAAAGGAAAAAGCTGAAACAATATGGTATGGTGAATGATGATATTTGCCCTCTATGCTCTGATGCTGTTGAAACTAATCAGCATCCATTGTTTGATTGTAATTACAGTCAGAAACTAATCACTTTGATGCAGAACAAGTTGGGGTGTGTGATGAACTTTACAAGCATACAATCTTGTAATGATTGGTGTTGGGGTGCTAGGAACATATTCCAGAAAATGGTGTACCAGAGCCTTTGTTCTACTTTGGTTTACAACATTTGGCAGCAAAGAAATCTTGCCAGGTTGGTAGCTCAAATTCTTAGACATGAAATTGTTGTAAATAGGATTTGTATAGATGTCTATCATAGAGTTTGTTGTATAGCTTGTAAGAAAGTTAAGGCTAGGGAGCTTAGTTGGTTAAAGGGCATTTGCCTAGGGGCTTAGTAGCCTCCGTGCACTTGTTGCGTTTTTGTGATTAATTAAATTTTTGCCTTTTCTCACAAAAAAAAAAAAAAATTAAATAAATAAATAAATAAAATTATAAATTATTTTATGTACACTTTTCTATCCTAAACAAATCTATCCAATCTAATCTAACGTGCAATCTAATATAATCACAATAATATCTATTTGTCGCCTACATGGCTCGACACTTGGCGAAAAACCGGAATGCCAAGTGTCAATGTCTCGTGGCGTGGCTGCGAGACCGGCTTTATATATTAGTGACTAGTTTTGTGCCCGGACGATGCCCAGATTGTCCTAAACTTTAGCTTGAATGTTAAATACAATCATATAACCCCTTTTGATAATGTAAAATATTTAGACATACGATATCATATCACTTATTTATATAATAGTGTACTTTTTGTAGTTTTATTTGTAAATAGATATTTATGTTACTATTAACTTGATATTTTTTATTGCACTTAAATTATTTGTAATGAACTAAAAGTATTTTTACCAAACCAAAATTATTTTTTATGATTAAAACTTATTTTTACTGATTTTCTATTTTTTATTAAAATATATTATAAATGGATCTCATTTTAAAGAACTTTTTAAAACGAATTTATGATGGAAATAGTACTGAGTTAGTTTGGTGCCTAGGCGCAGATGGTATATAAGATTTAGGATAAACTTTTGGTGTGAATATTAAATACGGTCATATAATCTCTTTTGATAATTTATATAGTAGTGCACTTTTTGTAGTTTTGCTTGTAAATAGATATCTATGTTATTATTGACTTGAAATTATTTATATTGAACTTAAATTATTTTTACAAAACTGAAAGTATTTTTAGCTAACTAAAATTATTTTTTACTAAACTTAAATTATGTTATTATTAACTTGAAATTATTTTTATTAAACTTAAATTACTTTTACTGACTTGAAAGTATTTTTACCAATATTTACTATTATTTTTTAAAATAAATTAATATATTATAAATAAATCTTATTTTAAAGAACTTTTTAAAACGAATTTTATGATGGAAATAGAACTGAGTTATAGGATATTATTAAAAGTTATGATTAATTTTGTATATATGAAATAATAGAAGTATATCGACAATAAAACTCTTTTCGACAATTTTATCTTCAAAAATCTATCCAAAAATCGCTTACTTAGCATCATATGTGTCACAATAATACCTAATTTTCTCCTACGTGACATGACACTTGCCGAATAATTGGAATGCCAAGTGTCACTGTCATGTGGCCTAGCGACGAGACCGGCTTTATTTATTAGTGACTGATTTTGTACCCGGGCGATGCCCAAATGGTTGATAAAATTTGTAGTTTAATTTTTCAATAGATATTTATGTTATTATTGACTTGAAATTAATTTTATTGACCTTAAATTTATTAGACTGAACTGAAAGTATTTTTACCAAACTAAAATTATTTTTACTGATTTTCTATTATTTTTTAAATAAATTAAATATAATATAAATGGATCTTATTTTAAAGAATTTTTTAAAACAAATTTTATGATGGAAATAGAACCAAGTTATAGGATATTTATTAAAAGTTATGATTAATTTTGTTACCTACGTGGCGCGACACTTGGAGAAAAATTGGAATGCCAAGTGTCGCTGTCTTGTGGCCTGGTGCGAGACCGACTTTATTTATTAGTGATATGATATAATATTAGATCTGTACTAGTATAACCCTAAACAAAATTTATTTTCCTGAACTTGTCTTATCTAAACTTACTTGAATTAAACTGAAGTTATCTGAACTTAATTGAAGTTATTCGAACTTATTAGACTTGAAATAAGTGAATATAAGTTGAACAGAATATACCCTAAGTAGTATGGTTGAAATTTTTACAAAATAAATAAATAGAAAAGAGATAGTGAGTAATAGTTTAATGCTAAGTAAAAAGTAAGGAATGTGAGAGCATGGAAACAATAATAATAATAATAATAATAATAATAATAATAATAATAATAAAAATAAATAAAAAAATAAATAAAAAAAATAAAAAAAAGAAATAGGAGTGAGGATCATGTTAAGAGAGGGATAACATAAAAAAAATAAAGTGAAGATGTTCAAGAAAATGGACTAATGCACTTAACAAACAACCGATTTAGAAAGATGGTGTATTGGATTTTACTCTCTCCGTCCGACCGTCCCATTATTCAAATTAAACTAGTTTTTAGGCCCGCACGATGCCTTGGAATAAAACTTGGAACTGATCATTAATATAGATTGTAATTTATGATTCAATTTTCTTGTAATTAAATTTGTTGTTCATATTGTCATTTGCTACATATTAATATTTTGTATTCAAAAGATTGCATAAAAAATCACATACCTTGGTGGTAAGACACTTAGTTCTAGAATTAGAGGTTGCGTGTTCAAATCTTAAGGAGAACATTCTATACTATATAGTCGATGTGCCACGTAGGCTCTTTTTAGTTACGCCACGTCAGTTTTCCAACATCTCATGATGACACGTCACCTTTAACCATCTCAACTAATACGCCACGTCACCGAATAAACTTAACCGTTTAAGCCAATTACCAACCACATTATCAATATGTAAAAAAAATATATATATATCTGAAAAGCACAAGGTTCAATTTTTTTTTTTTAAAAAATAAGATACTCAAAAAATAAATTCAATAAGTATTCAATGTGACTATTATCTCATACCACCTACGGATGAAAGGCCAGACAAATTCATCTTTATAAGTATAATACATGAAAAATATAATACAATAATATACGGATTTTTCATGAAATACCACTGAGTTTTTCCAAAATTTACCATATACCACACAAAAATTTTTAATTCACCATATAGCACTGAGTTTATGTACATTAATACTGAATGCCATTTTTTCTAACTGTCGTTAACGCCGTTAGTAATTAAGTTAATTGTGCCACGTGGCTTTCACTTATTGGCTCTTATTAATATTATCTAATTAATTAGTTAAATAAAGAATTAAAAAAAAAAACAACCACCACCTCCTCACTCCACCAACCCCGACACCCCCTTCCCCCACCAGCCCAGCTCCCCCTCCCCGCCGGCGGCCTTGCCCAGCCTCCTCCCTCGCCGGCTCTCCGGAGCTCCCCCTACCCCTGCCATCAAAAAACAAATAAAAAAACCCACAGCCACCCCTTCATTCCCAGATCCGGCCACCGGAAACCATCCCCCTTCCCAGCCCCGTCCCCTCCTCCCTAGTCTCACCGGAAACCCATCCCCCTTCCACAGCCGCAAGCCCGCAACCGTCTCACCTCTGCCGCAAGCCCGCAACCACCAGGCTACCATAGCCAACCACGTTCCATTCCACCATAGCCAACCTCGTCCTCCGCACCACCATCAAATTCTCTATCCTTCGCTGCAAGCCCGCAACCACCAATCCACCATAGCCAACCTTGTCCTCTCCTTCACCGCAAGCCCGCAACCACCAGTCCACCATTAACGTTTTTCTCCTCAAAAATCGACCACCACACCCCCATCTGCAACCCCCACAGCCACCAATCCTCACTTGACCCCCTAAAACCGACCACCCAACCACCCTAAAACCCCCAAAAATCGACCACCCCGAAATCCCCAAAAATCGACCACCGCAAAATCGACCCCCAGTCGACTTTTGGGGATTTCGGGGTGGTGGGAGTTCTAGAATAGTGGTTGGGTCGATTTTTAGGGGTGGAGGTGGGTCGCAACACCGGCATAAGGGGATTGGGGGGGAGAGCGGCGCAGCATTGGGACAGGTGAAGGGAGGGGTAAGCGCAGGCGGCTGGCGGCAGGTGGAGGTGGTGGTTGGGGTTACGGTGGCTAGGTAGGGGATAAGGGTTTTTTTTATTTTTATTTTTTATTTTTTGATAATTAATTAAATAATTATTTTAAAGTTAAATAATTTAAAAGGCAACCAATTACAAGCTGCCATGTGGCACAATTAACGTTAATGACTAACTGAGTTAACGGAAATGGCATGTTGTGACATTTATGTTAAACTCAGTGCTATATGGTGAATTAAAAATTTTTGTGTGGTATATGGTGAATTTTGGAAAAACTCAGTGGTATTTCATGAAAAATCCGAATAATATATAATGTATGATCCGGTGCATCGCCCGGGCTAAACACTAGTTATTATTATTACTAGTATTTAGCCCGTGCCACGCACGGGTTAAAATTGTTATTAATTATTTATTGAAGGATAGCTCAACTTCATATTGGGATTGTTCTTGGAGGGGGTGGGGGAGTTGGGGAATGTGTAAATACAAAATTTTGTTGTAGTAGTAGAATTAAGAGTAATGAGAGAAACTAATCTAAACCTTAAAAATTTCACATTAGAGGAAAGCATCACCAATTATGATACTTTTTCATTTCTTTACTGATATTTCTTTTAGGCCCCCCCCCCCCAAAAAAAAAAAAAAAAAAAAAAAAAAAAAAAAAAAAAAGAGGTAATTCTAACCTATACATCTCAACTCTTTCAATTGCTTTGTGAGCCTTTAAAAAAGAATTTTTAAAAAAAAAAAACATGAAAATTTGTAGAAAAGCTCAGCATGCAAATGAAACTGCAAGTTAATGATATGTTAGCCTACTTATTTCCCCTCCAATTACAAGATTGACATTCTCATAATTCTTGTACTGTTCGAGTTTAGTTAATCTGTACTTCTCTCTATCCTATTGAAAAATTTGAATTCCCTGAAAGTCTTTCTCTTGAAGCACTAACAGAGTAACAGCCGCGGTGTATGTCACCTTCTAAGCAGCTAAAACTGCTTATTGATATACATACCAGCTCAGACTCAACCGTTCTTATATTGCCATTATCTCTAGCGTAAAACTCATCAGCCATGTAGTCGAATTTGTTAACTTGCTGTTGGGACATGATTCATCTGCACTTGAATGCCTTGACATTAGCATAAAAAACTTAAGACTAAGAATATTCATGCATAATTTCCTACCTAAATTATCTAAAGCCCAATCAATTGTTCCTGTCACACAAAAATAACTATACACAAAGTAGCAACACCCCATCAAACAATTAAAAATCAATATTAGCAAACAATTTACTTAACCCCTATAGTTATACTCTAGAAAAATCAATTCCCAACAAAACTAATATATACTACATCTTCTACGTATTTTGACTTACCAAAATGAATCAAACCAAAAAGAAAAATTCAATATTTACCAACTACAACCTAAATCTAAAGAACACCTATTTTTAAATAATCATAACCTATCAAGCAAAATTGGAACAAAATACTCAAAATCCAGGAAAAATAAATCTGAAGAAATTTTGTAAACATACCCTTAAATTGCAACCAAAGAACAACACAAAAAAGGAAACACAAAAAGAAAACTACCACAAAATAGAAGAAAAAGACATAGTAACCTTTCAATTTAATAAAACGCAAAGTTATTAATGGGGAGATTAGAATGGGACATGACAATAATCAATTGGTTGCTGTTGTAAAAAAATTTGCTTTAAAGTATGTATCATGAAATCTGAACTCTTACTTTGAGCAATTGATACATCAAACTCTGATTATGCAAAACTGTTAAACTGATACTACGGATTAAATTTCACAAAAAAATCCAAACCAAAAAAATTACAGAGTAATCCTACTCATATTTTACCCAGATCGAAGTGAAAAAAAAAGGTCCATAAACACCACTGCAAATCGATCATCCTAACCGAAAATATTTTTATTAAAAAACACATGCCAAATAGCCCTGGACAAATTCCTCAACAAAATCATCGATAATTGGCATCAAGAAACACAGGTTTCACTTTTTCACACTATGGATTATAATGCCATAATATCTAACAATAGGTTGATATACCTTCATAATACTTAAATTTTTAATTTAAAAAAACATTATAGGAAAATTATTAACTAAAAACATGGAACTTACACCAACTAAAAAAATGAATCCATTTTAGCGTCAAATACAAATTCTTGTACCAAAAAATTCCATTCGAATATGATTAATAGTGCAAAAACAGAATTCATCCAATAAAACAATATACTAAGAGATGGCCACAAAATCAATTATTTATACAACAATAACATCTTTCAACCATAAAAGAGCCAAACTAAAAATCAACAAATTTGCCAGAATCAAAATTTGGCTTATAGTTAGAATCTGAAATCCAATTTAACAAATTATTATAACAAAATTTTTAAAAAAGACTAACCTTTAATTTTACGAAGATGTTGAAAAAAAAACCTTGTCGCAATTGATTTACAAATTTATTTCAGAAGATAAAATGAACCTCACAAATTTCCTTTTTAGTACTGCAGTGGGTTAGGGGGGGAGAGAGTGCGGAGTTTACAATGTTCTTTTCCTATTTCGGTACTATAATTTGATTATTCTGTTGGATAAAGCTTGAAAGATTATATCGTGAGAATAAGAGAATCCAAAAGACCCCAGAAGTAATTTTTTATGATAGGGTAAGTGCTGTTGTTTCAGATTTTATGGGTTGAAGATGAACCGGTTGGAGTAGAAGACTGTTAGCGTGACAGTGCTAAGGCTGATATTAGCTACTGTATTTGCAAGCTAATATCAGAATAATGAAAAATCCAGAATAATGTTGAGAAGAAGAAGAAGGAAGAAAGAAAGAGAGAAAGAGAGGGAATTTGTTATTTCATTTCTTGCCTTATGCATGCACCTCACTGCCCTTAAGTACAACCATAGCAACAGCAATACAGCTCATCAAATCTAATAACAAACTTAGATTCTTTTCGTAACAACTTTTATTCCCTACTGACAATCTTAAAGAAAAAGACAAAATAACCCTTATTGATTATCAAAAATAAAAATATCAGAATATGTCCTGTAACATACCCTCCCCCTTTAAGGGACTTGACCCCAAGTTTGGCAGAAAGCAGGATAAGCAACCTGAAAATCAGCTTTAGGCATCTAGGAAGCTTAATGAGCAGGGGTGTCCTTCCAATGCACCAAGAAGTGTTCTATATTATCCGAGTCCAGTTTAGTATCCAAAATGGCAGCAGGAGTCATAGGAGCAGGAGCGGACTCTTCCCGGAGCCACAACAGGTGCATTACCTTGAAAAGGTTTGAGCAAAGAGACATGAAAGACTGGATGTATCTTTGATTGTGCAGGCAAGAGGAGTTTATAAGCCACATTTCCTATTTTGGTTGTGATCTGAAATGGCCCATAATACTTAGCAGCGAGCTTATTGTTGCTTCTGGTAGACACAGACTGTTGTCTATAGTCCTGGAGCTTCAGCCAAACCCATTCACCAATACAAAAGGACCTTTCAGACCTCTTTCTGTCAGCCTGAACTCTCATTCTATTCTGAGCTTTTCACAGATTGTGCTTGAGTATGGCTAGCATATTCTCTCTTCTCTGCATTCCCCTGTCAACAACTTCAATCTGAGACTCTCCTGGCAAGTATGGCAAATGGATGGGAGGGGGCTGTCCATAAACCACTTCATATGGGGTCATACCTGAGGCGGAATGGAAGTGTGTATTATACCACCATTAAGCTAGTGGTAAATACTTGCACCACTCTTTTGGAAAGTCACTTGTGACACACCTTAGATAAGTCTCAAAACCCCTATTCACTACCTTAGTCTGGCCATCTGTCTCAGGGTGATAAGCAGAGGATAAGAGGAATTCTGTACCATGTAGGGAAAACAACCCTTTCCAAAATTGGCTAAGAAATATAGCATCCCTATCACTCACTATGCTCCTAGGCCATCCATGAAGTTTGAAGACATGGTCAAGGTAGCATTGAGCAACTTCAACAGCAGAGAATGGGTGTTTTAATGCCATGAAATGAGCATATTTGCTCAATCTGTCCACAACTACAAAAATGACATCCTGGCCCATGGAATTAGGTAAACCAGAAATGAAGTCCATGGAAATGTCAGTCCAGATGTTCTCAAGTATTGGCAAGGGCTGCAGCTTCCCAGGCTTTGCAGAGGTGTCATACTTTGAAGCCTGGCAAACTTTGCATTTTCTGATCAACTGACTGACTCCCTTAGCCATTCCCCTCCAGTAGAATAAACCCTGCATTCTTTTCAAAGTCTGCTCTCTTCCTGAGTGGCCTGCCTCCAAGGAGGAATGTTGCCATTGCACTAGTTGTTCCCTTAACTTCATGTCTGGACCAACAACAATCTTCCCTTTTTTTTTTTCTGAGCAGCCCCTCTTGAAGAGTGAACCCTGAAATGATAGGTTTTCCTTCACTAAGAGACTCAAAAATTGACTGTATGTTATCATCCAAAGCATAGCTGGCTTTAATAGAGTCTGCTAGGTTAGAGTCCACTACTGAGATTGCAAGAAACAAGACCTCTGATCCCTGGAGCCGTGATAGAGCATCAGCTACAACATTTGACTTTCCTTCTTTATATTGTATTTCATAATCAAAATCCATCAACTTGGACAGCCAAAATTGTTGAAAGGGTGTTGAGATTTTCTGTTGAAGCAGCCATTTAAGACTTTTCTGGTCAGTTTTCACAATGAAGTGTGTACTAGACAAGTACTGTTCCCACTTTTGCACAGCAAAGACCATAGCAAGCAGTTCCTTTTCATAAACCGACAGCCTTTGCCACTTAGGACCCAATGCCTTGCTGATGAATGCTAGGGGATGGTTATCCTGCATTAAAACTGCCCCTATTCCAGTCCTTGAGGCATCAGTCTCCACAACAAAGACTTTATTGAAGTCTGGGACTGCTAGTACAAGAGCTTGTGTTAGAGCTACCTTTAATGCCTCAAAAGCTGTCTGAGCTGCGTCTGTCCAAGCAAATGCCCCTTTTTTGAGAAGGTTGGTTAAAGGTTTGCTGATTGTCGCATATCCTTTGACAAACCACCTATAGTAACCTGCCAAACCCAAGAAGGACCTCAGATCCTTTACTGAAGTTGGAGTAGGCCAGGAGTTTATAGCAGCTATCTTACTTGGATCTGTTTCTACTCCTTTTCCAGAAATAAAATGGCCAAGATACTCTACCTTAGCAATTGCAAATGAACATTTTCTCATCTTCGCAAAAAGGGAATTATGCCTCATGATTTCAAACACTTCTATAAGGTGCTGCTAGTGTTCTTGTATGCTCTTGTTGTACACTAATATATCATCAAAAAATACCAGAGCAAACTTCCTTAACACAGGCCTAAAAACTTCATTCATCCAACTCTGAAATGAAGCTGGTGCATTAGTCAAACCAAATGGCATGACTAAGAATTCATAATGCCCTGAATGCGTCTTGAAGGCTGTCTTATAGACATCATTAGGGTGAATTCTCGGTTGGTGATAACCAGCCCTCAGGTCCAATTTGCTGAAGACTGATGAACCAGCCAACTCATCAATAAGTTCTTCAAGAACAGGGATAGGAAACTTATTCTTTATGGTTTTCCTATTAAGTTCCCTATAATCCACACAAAGACTCCATGTACCATCCTTATTTCCCACCAAAACTACTGGAGAAGCAAATGGGCTAGCACTGTTTTGAATCACACCTCTTTTAAGCATTTCTTGAATCAATTGTTCAATCATGTCCTTCTGCCTTAGGGGGTATCTGTAAGGCCTAATATTCACAGCACTGCTTCCTGGTTCAAGATGTATTTGGTGGTCAAATACCCCTCTCAAAGGAGGTAACTCAGAAGGGTCTTCAAATACATCAGCATATGTAACTTTCATCTGTACTAGCTCAGAACAGTGGCCTGCCTCTGTACCCGATACATGAACCAGACCTGGTGGCACTTCACCACTCAACTGAGACACTTGAATTAAGCACACTTGGGCTGCCTCATTCAGAAATTTGTCAGGCAACCCCTTATCACTAACTTTCAACCTTTTACTGGGAATGCCTTTCAACTCAACCCAATCATTATGGACAGAAAACCTCATTGTCATCTGTTTAAAATTCCAAGAAATGCTTCCTAGAGTGCTTAACCATTGTACACCAAGAACCATGTCACAACTTCCCAAAGGAATAAGGAGGACGTCAGCAGTAAAGAGTTGCCCCCCTAACATCCAAGTAAACCCTTTACACATAGAAGCACACCTCAATTGATTGCCATCTGCTACTGTCACAGCCATATCAGGAATGGTTTCACTTTTACAGCCAATGCTGTCAGCTATGTGTATGTCCAGAAAATTGTGTGTACTCCCTAAGTCAATTAAGACCTGCAAGGTTTTGCCCATAGTGGTAACCTTGACCCTCATGATACTGAAATTCTGATTCCCAGTCAAAGCATTCAAGGATATCAGAGGATCTGTATCAGTCACCTCTTCCAGCTCAGTCAAAGTTACTGCAGCTATATCCTCCTCATCCATACCAGGCACTTCAACAGTAAATAACTGAGGCTCTTTAAATTGACATTGATGGTTTCGATTATAGGGTGCATCATAGTAATAACACAGCCCTTTGGCAATCTTCTCAGCTCTTACATCAGCAAGAATGAATTTGGTCTTTGGGGTGGGCTTAGTGTTGGTTTTTAGGAAAGGAGAGGTAGGTGGCAGGGGTAAGAGTGGTGGTTTGGAAGAGTTTTGGGTGGATAGTGTTTGATAAGGTTTAGTGGTGGTATATTTTGGGCGGTTTGATGTGTTTAGGGAATCAGACTCTTGCTGGAATCTAGCATATTCAATAGCTGCTGAAATGGTTTGGGGTTTGAACGCTTTCACAAAGGGTCTGAGGCTTGATTTCAGTCCTCCTATAAAGCTCTCAAGCAAATACTTATCTGGCAACATATACCCAACTTGAACCATGATTGATCTCAAGTTTTCAAAGTCATCCACATAATTTTCAATACTATCATGCTGCTGTAGTTTATTAAACTCCTCAACCACATTAATGCCTTTATCATCTCGAAACCTAGCAGCTAGGTCTATAACAAAATCATGCCAATCAACATTACTTCTAGTAGCTAGGTAACTAGATACCCAATTTTCTGCCTTATCTAACATGTATAAGGATGCTAGATCTACTTTTTGGTCATCAGGTATCTTACACAAGCTAAAGTACTTGCAGCATTTTTTAATCCAAAGCCTAGCATTACTACCATCAAACTTCGGGAATTCGAGTTTAGGATTATAGCCAAACCTTGGCGGAGGAATGCGTTCATCATGCTTGGTAACATAGGTACCAATACTCAAGGACTGCATCATTTGCTTCAGCTCCTCAAACTTCTGATCAGTAGCCACATTTTGAGCTTCTAGCTGGCTCTTAAGTGCTGCAATCTGCTCCTCCATTTTACCAACCCGCGTAGATACAGTCGGTGCCAGTGTAATCAGAGTAGGGCAGGTTTGCTCTGATACCAATGTTAGCGTGACAGTGCTAAGGCTGATATTAGCTACTGTATTTGCAAGCTAATATCAAAATAATGAAAAATCCAGAATAATGTTGAGAAGAAGAAGAAGGAAGAGAGAGAGAGAGAGAGAGAGAGAGAGAGAGAGAGAGAGAGAGAGAGAGGGGGAATTTGTTATTTCATTTCTTGCCTTATGCATGCACCTCACTGCCCTTAAGTACAACCGTAGCAACAGCAATACAACTCATCAAATCTAATAACAAACTTAGATTCTTTTCATAACAACTTTTATTCCCTACTGACAATCTTAAAGAAAAAGACAAAATAACCCTTTTTGATTATCAAAAATAGAAATATCAGAATATGTCCGGTAACAAAGACCCCAAAAAAAATCTAAGTCTAAGGCGTGACACGTGGATAGCTTTAATTTCTTTTAAATCTTCCTGTTATTAAATATAGTATAGAATATAGATATAGATGTCTGATTATAATATTTCACGCAAAGTAAGGCTTACAACTTAGGGTAGGGATATGCTAATTCGAATTTGATCACCCACAAGAAATTCACTTCGAGAAATCATTATTTTTTAGGTCACAATATTGTCGACTCTAAATTGTATTCAAAAAATTTTATAATCGCTAATTTAAAGAAATTTATATTTACACCTGGGTGAAAGATGCACCTTTAATTTTATTTTATTTTATTTTATTACCGTTTATTTTTTTGCTATTTTGATTATTACTGCTCATTTTACCTTCAAATGAGCAAAAAATGACCTTGGATGCACCTTGATTCACCCGTGGTATATATAAAAACTTTCAGCTAATTTAGGGCTTGTTTAATATCATTTTTTGTTTTCATTTTTTTTTTAAAACAAAAAACCAAAAAACAGGAAACAAGAAAATAGTGTTTTCAATTTTCTATTGTTAGTTTTCAAAATAATCATGATTTAAGTAAATTTAACTAATTTTAGATTCTATATGACATATATCATATGAGTTTGAAAAACAAAAAACCAAAAAATAGAAAACCACGACAATACCAAAAGAACCCTTAGATATTGGGCTTTTTGTGTTCAATCGTGCTGGTAATGAAAGGGTTTGATCACCCCTTTTGGGTAGGTAAGGACAAAGTGCCGGGTTCTCACCTCCTATTTGTCGAGTCGATGACCTCTTCTTAATTGGGTGTGTTGATGAGAAAACGACTTTCAAAGTAAGAAAAATGCCAGATATCTTTAGTGGTGAATCGGGTCAAAAGTTAAATGAGTCAAAGAATAGACTTGCTTTCTCTCCAAACACCTCTCTTAGCTTGAAAATAGGCAACTATTCCAAGACACCTTCAACATAGAGAAATATGATGATCTCGGGCTATATATATTTAGGCATGCCTCTCACATAAAAGGCTTAGAAAAAATGATTTTCAATTTGTAGTAAAGAAATTTAGGATAAAACTTGCTCTTTGGAAAACAAAACTCCTCTCTAGGGATCGGAGGGTTGTCTTGTGCTCATTACCTCCCTCTCAACTATACCCTCTTATTCTATACAAACAAATTTCCTTACAATAGTAAATAATTGTTTAAGAAATCCTAGGATCGATTCCAAGAAATCCTAGGGATAGCTCAAGCGGTTACAGCTTCCTTTCCGATTCCAAGAAATCCTAGAATCGATTCTCATCACCCGTCCTTGTGGCTCTCTAAACACCAAAAATATATATATATTTTTTTTTAGTATAATAAAAAAAGGTAATTCTTCTAAACCCTCTAAGAAAGCCTAATATAAATAAAGCATTATGTAAAAATCTTCCTAACATATTGAAGGAGAAAATTAATCATTTTAAAGGTTTCATGCACAATTTTAACTAAAATAAAATTATTTGGGCCAAAATCTATTTTAATAGGATTTTATACCAGATCAGATTAAAGACCAGAATGATAATTCCTATTACTTGTTGGTTCCCATTAGAAAAACTAAAGAAAATACTCATCAATCCTCAAATAATTGTCTTGTATGATATTTTTGGTCGGTTTCAAATGATTGTCTTGATAACTTAAACGAAAATTTCATTTCACTCAACTGAGCAAAACGATGTAATGTGGCCAGTGATACAACACCCCATTCCTAATTTCTTTCTTCATACGTAATCTCACGTAGACCATTCTCTACAACGTTGGTACAAGGAAGTTCTATTACAAATCTACGGAGTAGGATACAATTACAACATAATTGACTAAGGCCCTGTTCTTTTGAGCTGTTTTGCTCTGCTCTGCTTTATCCTACTCTGCTGAAAAATAATAATTAATAATAATAATAATAATTAATATTTAATAAAAATAATAATAATTATTATTAATATTTGATAATAATAACTAATATTTATAGATAATAATAATTAATATTTAATGTTAATAATAATTAATATATTATTATAATAATAATAATTAATAATTAATATTAATAATAATAATATTTTATAATAATATTTTATAATAATAATTAATTAATTAATAATAATAATTAATATTTTATAATAATAATAATAATTAATATTTAATATTAATTTATAATAATAACTAATATTTAGTGATAATAAATAATATTTTATATTATTTAACACATTTTCTAATGTTATGAAAAGAGTAAAAAAATCTAAAAATATCAAATAATAATAATAATAATAATAATGAAATAATAATAATAATAATAATATTAAAAATAATAATAATAGTAAAAAATAATAACAATAATAATAATAATAAATAATAATTAATGATAATAATGCGATAATAATAATAATAATATTAAAAAATATAATAATAATAATAAAATAATGCGATGATAATAATAATAATAATAATAATAATAATAATAATAATAATAATAATGTGATAATAATAATAATAATAATAAGTAATTAATGATAATAATGCGATAATAATAATAATAATAAATAATTAATGATTATAATGCGATAATAATAATAATAATAATAATAATAATAAAATGTTTGACTTTGTAAGTTTTGTTAATTTTAATAATAATAATAATAATAATAATAATAATAATAATAATAATAATAATAATAATAATAATAATCATCTGCTCTGCTTTGCTCTACTCTGTCCTGCCCTGCCCAGAAACTCAAAAGATTAGGGCCTAAATCATTATTTTCCAATTCAAATATCCAAATCATTTTATCCAAACACATTCTTTAAAATCTTAAAAAAAAATATTACCAAAACTAACAATATGTAATTTGTAACATATCCCAATGTCTAAGAGTCATATATTTACTAAATCATTGCATTCTAATTCAAATATCCAAATCTTCTAATCCAAACACAATCTTCATAATATTAAAAATACTAAAAAAAAAAAAAAATCCAAAAACACAATTTCATAACTATAAATAGACTGAAAGATTATATAAATAACTACCAATACTACGATTTTCACATCATAGGAAACTTGGATAATCTTGTTAAAAAACATGGGAACATATGGAAGATTTGGAGGACAAAAAATACAATCCAATCCACAATATTGACAAAGACAAGTTCCTATTACGAAAATCAATCTTATGTCACGATTATGTATTATCCAAAATATATTTTTCCTTTTGGGAAACGTCTAAAGTATAAACCTTGAAATCTACCTAACATTCCCAAAAATTCCTTCAAAAAGTTCAAAAACGTTTCTTGATTTTCTTCCGTCAATTTTGTCAACCAATCCGAGTCAGAAATCCCAATTACACACCTTCATGGATTTAATTACTAAAATCACCAACTACTATATATATAACTCACATTCCACGTTTTCTTCCTCGCATTAATTAATTTCTTCTCTCAAAATTGGTGGAGAGTTTTCTCTTCAATTTACTCTATAGTCTTAAATATCGAGGAGGGTTTTTGAGGGCATTTTTTCAATTTTTGATTCATACCCATTTTATAATTCTCTGGTATGTTCATCCCCTTTTAATGGTTTTGTGAAATTCTTTGGTTTATAATGTGAATAATATTTTTTTTGTCCAGTTATTTTGGAGTATATAATGTAGTAAAAAGTGCTAATTTAATTGTATTGTTATTTCTATTCAATGTGATTTGCACATTTTGATAAAAAAAATTAGCTGAAAGTGTAAGATCTAGAAATGGTCATGTTGCCCTTTAATTTATTAAATCTATGAAATCGAAATAATACCAAATCTGTATATAATAAAGTTTATAATTCTTCTTATGGGTTTGCTGGATAGATTTGGAATAGTTAAATTGCTGTGAAGTTTACTACAAAAGTTGACTTTTATTGATTGAGACTGCTTTACTTTTCTTGTAATATTAATCCAATAAATTTGGAGTGTTGAAATTTAAGCAACATCTGAAGTTCTTGTTGTTTTTCAGATTTTTGAAGAATACCCAATTTTTTCTAGTTATGTCTCAAAATGGAGGAGTTAGCACAAGCAATGCAATTTTTGAGATTGATGATGATGATTTCTCAAGGTTTTCTGAGAAACCTAAACCCATAATCACAGAAAGGAAGAGATCCTTTGATGAGAAGTCATTCAGTGAATTATCGATTCCAATGTCTCCTAGACCCTTTTACAGGAATACAGAGAATTCGTCTCGGGTTTTCGAGCCTGTTGATAGCATATATTCATCTGGAGGAAGGTCTGGTTTCGATACCCCGAGATCAGATAATGGGTTTGAGACACATCCTATTGTTTCTGAAGCATGGGAAGCGTTGAGGCAATCCATAGTTTACTTCAGGAGTGAGCCAGTTGGTACTATTGCTGCTATTGACCACTCTGAAGATAAGCTCAACTATGATCAGGTGAAGTTCTTTTTCATAGCTTATTAAGCACACATGTTTTAACTTGGATCTATATGAGCTTAAATGATCATTGTTATTGTATACTGATATTTTTTGGAAATAGATGATGTATCAATGATCATTGTTTTTGTGTGCCAATGGCCATATAAACAAAGAAAACAAGGGTGCTAATTTCAGATCAATCTCTGATAGGCGAAATTTTCTGTTTAAATGATTTTTATTTTACTCTCAGCTTAGAATATGGACATCTAATGCCTACTTAGAGTTTCTGGGTGCTGTGGATTGCTATTTTACCCTCTTGCTCGGACTTTGAAGTAAATCAGTCTATGCTCTTTATGGATCTTTATTACTCTAGATTTTACATATGTACTTTAAATTTTAAGGTATGTTTCTATGATGGTATCACATATATCTTATTTCTAACCTGGCTTGATTTGTTTCGTTTTGGATGTGAGGTTTTAGGTTCTAATGAACTACCTTTCTTTAATGTTTTGGCTGATGAATCATTTAGAACGTACTTATGAATCTTTCAAATGGTCAGTAATTAGAAATTTAGATAAGTGTATGTTTTCCTTGAAAGTGTCTTTGTTTCATACTGTGAATTCACTTCTTTTTATCTCATGTTCTGGGATGCTTTGTGTTTTTCGTTGAGATATTATTTCTTGCATTTGGTCATAAAGGTCCTGATTTTCTAATATATGTGAAGGTTTTTGTAAGAGACTTTGTTCCAAGTGCTTTGGCCTTTTTAATGAACGGAGAACCGGATATAGTCAAGAATTTTCTTACGAAGACCCTCCGCCTCCAGTCATGGGAGAAGAAGGTTGATCTATTCAAACTAGGAGAAGGTGTCATGCCTGCTAGTTTCAAAGTACATCATGATGCTGTCAGGAACACTGAGACGTTAGTTGCCGATTTTGGTGAGGCTGCAATTGGAAGAGTAGCTCCTGTTGACTCTGGTTTCTGGTGGATCATTTTGTTACGTGCTTATACAAAATCAACTGGAGACTCTTCCTTGGCTGACAAGCCAGAAGTCCAGAGGGGTATCCGTCTTATCTTAGGCATATGTCTTTCAGAAGGATTTGATACTTTCCCGACCCTCCTTTGTGCGGATGGGTGCTGTATGATTGATCGTAGAATGGTTAGATCCTTGCAGCTTTTTTTTTTGAAAGGAGTTCCTTGCAGCTTTAGCCTCAAGTATTTGCTGAAAAATGCCATTTTATTTATTTTTAATTATGTTACTGTCATCATAGTACCTCATTTAATGCTTGCATGCTAAGTCAACAATTTTTCTAAATTTCTTACATGGAATAATTGCTATAGCAGTACAGTAGCTGCATCATACATGCTGCATGTCAACCACCTTTCTTAATCATTTACATGAATTATGAAATAATGGTAATATCAGGACAGTAGCTGTATCACCCATGCTGCATGTGGTGTGGGTAAAAGCTGACCACACAAATTACGATTGTGAGTGTTTGATGCATCTGCAATCTTAGAAAATATAATGGAGGTGTCTGAATTTTTTCTTTTTGCCTTTTAACCAGCTTACAAGATCCAATATAGGACATTAGGTGTAGCTCATATCCTGGGACTTGGTTTTAAAATTGGAATGGTGATAAGTTTTGAGAATTTCATGTTTTATGAGATTGAAGAAGGTTATTAAATTAAATTGCTATTAATTATGTGTAATATATTCAGAGTAATACATCTCCTGAGATTGCCAAACTTTGCCGACCTTTTGGGTCCGGGCTAAGTGACCTCTAGGCATACTTCGTATGTTTAATTCTTAGTTCTGTTTGCTTCAGTGTTCAGTGGTATTCCTACTAGTAAGCTATAGAATATGTGCGACTCTTGTGTGAGGCATTGCAATTCCATTCTTTGTCAATTAGTTGGCAGCAGACTAGTGATATATTTATCTCGGAAATGGGCATAATTTTGCCCATCTTACACTTCCCCACACTCCCACACTCCCACCTTCCACCCTCCCCCCAAAAAAAAAACACGCACATCTTCTTGACACTAGTAGATTTTTCACACTAAATGACAATCAGTCTACTCCTTGCTATTATATTGCTCTCATGTGAGCTGATTTATATGAAAAAATTCTCATCTCTTTGGGGTAGCATAATTCATTGACGTATGATGAGCGTTTTCGTGACTACGCCAGTACTTTGCATATTTGTCCTCAAAGAATATGGTACTTTTATACATACTAGAATGTTGGCTGCATCTGTCTTCCTTTTTGTTCTACCTTGTCATTTACTGTACCCCTGGCTGTGCTTTCAACATGCTGAATATGTTTCTCTCCTCTTGTATGCCTGAAGCCTAGAGGAGAGGTGTATCAGATAGCATATTTCAGAATTAGACTTCTAGATATAGCCTTCTTGAGTTCTTGCAAAACCATTATATTTTGAGCCAAAGCACTAAATAACAAGGGTTGCTTTCAAAAGTTGCAATCTGAGCAACTGAGCTTTAAGACAAGGAAGGTCAGCTGTAAAGTCCTTACGCCCCTCATTAACTTAGCAGGAACCTGCCCCCCCCCCCCCCCCTTCCAAAAAAAAAAAAAAAAAAAAAAAGAAGAAATGAAATTGATTTATGAAAGGAGTTAGTGTTAAATACTTATGAGTTATCTGTAATTTGAAGAATGAGATTGTGATTTTTCCATTTATCTTCATATGGTTTTGTTGATCAAATGCACTTTATCTCTCATTAGGGAATTTACGGATATCCCATTGAAATCCAAGCACTCTTCTTCATGGCGTTAAGGTGTGCTTTGCAATTGCTTAGGCCTGAAGGAGAAGGTAAAGAATTCATCCAGAGAATAGTTGAGCGGCTTCATGCTTTGAGCTATCATATGAGAAACTACTTTTGGCTTGACTTGAAGCAACTCAACGATATTTATCGCTTCAAAACTGAGGAGTATTCCCACACAGCTGTCAACAAGTTCAATGTGATGCCTGATTCTCTTGAAGACTGGGTTTTTGACTTCATGCCAGTGAAGGGCGGTTACTTCATTGGCAATGTGAGCCCAGCAAGGATGGACTTTAGGTGGTTTTGCCTTGGGAACTGTGTTGCCATCTTGTCTTCAATGGCTACCCCAGAGCAGGCTTCTGCAATAATGGACCTTATTGAAGCTCGATGGGATGAATTAGTGGGTGAGATGCCTCTTAAGATCAGCTATCCGGCCCTGGAAGGTCATGATTGGAAGATAGTTACTGGATATGATCCTAAGAATACTCGATGGAGTTATCACAATGGTGGTTCCTGGCCAGGTGAATTTCTGCTTGCTTGCTTTTTGTTATTATTATTAGATGTTGTCTTGAGCTAGAAACTCAAATAAGTAGTAGATATGTAGAAATCTCTCTTCAATCAATCTGTCTGCCTCCAACTCATCCCTAAGAAGAGGTATGCTATGCCAATATCTTAAGTAACTTGGACTCTGCTATCTTCAGCTGATTTTGTTGGACTTTTACTCCTTAAATGTTTTAACCAACTTTTAAGTCTTTTATTGATTAAAACTGAGTGCCTTTTAATTTAGAACTAAGGTTAAGATTAATCAATTTCGAGTAGTTGTCTACAATGTTGGAGATTTATTCTATCTCCTCTTTTTCTTCTTGTTAAAGGTACGTCCTAAAAACAGCATAATGTTTAACCCGATTCTTGACATTAATATTCTTTTGGTGTGCAGTTTTACTATGGCTTCTTACAGCTGCATGTATTAAGAGTGGAAGGCCACAGATAGCCAAAAAAGCAATCGAACTTACTGAAGCTCGATTGCTGAAGGATGGTTGGCCTGAATATTATGATGGGAAGACCGGTCGTTTCATTGGAAAGCAAGCGCGTAAAAACCAAACTTGGTCGATTGCAGGATATTTAGTAGCAAAGATGATGTTGGAGGACCCATCTCATTTGGGTATGGTCTCGCTTGAGGAAGACAAACAGATATGCCCCCAAATCAAAAGATCTCATTCCTGGACTTGCTGACGATGGTGATGTCTTCTGTTATCATCTCTTTTCTTTTTTGCCATGTTGCCTTTCTGTAAGAACAAGGGAGTGAAACTCTTCCTTTTTTGCCTTTTTTTTTTTTGGAATAATTTTTTTTGGACATTATCTGGTTTCAGTGCCTTTGGGCATTACATTAGTACATTGTATACTCCTTATTGGATGAAGGATTGTGGAACAGAAACTGAAATTTTCTTACAGTAAAACAAAAACAAACAAAAGTCCGATTCTTGAAAGATGACATTTTTTAATCAGAGTAAACATAGAAAAAGTGCCTTAATCCTAGGATTGAGTCAGTTTTGGTTTGTCCTGGTTCCTTACTTCCTTGCAACATTCCCTACAGAATTCCTCTGCCTAAGATTGAGTCATATGGCTTCCTTGATTTTTTATTTTTTATTAAAAAATCTTCATACACAATATTATCGAGCGTTAAATTTGTAATATATCTTGCGTCAAAAAAAAATAAAATAAAATTGTAATATATCTTTGATTGTTGAAATGTCACATGTAATGTCAAATAATGGCTCAACAGTTTAATTTTGTTGCATTATTTTATGAGATGTCTCTCCATTTGATTATATATATATATATATATATATATATATATATATATATATATATATATATATATATATATATATATATATATATATATATATTAGGATTATTATTTTCTCATTTTTCATTGTTTGGTTTGTAAAGGGTGGAAAATAGTTTTCTCAAAAGTGGGAAATGGTTCTCTAAAGGATAGAAAACGCTTTCCTTTCTACTCATAACATTGCTTTCCTTCTCTCCCATCAGTCCCATCCATCTTCTCCCTTTAATTCCACTCTTATATTCCTTTTCCTTAATAATTTTTCTTGTAAGGAAACATAGTTAACATAGGACAAGTGGACAACTGTGTTTGTAATTGTGTTTTCCGTCAAAATGAAAGGTTTTTATTTTCCAAACAAATACTTCTTCCTTTTCTTTTCCTTTTCTTTTTAGTTCACACGTTTCTTTAGTTACGTTTGTCGATGTATAAATTCAACCATTAATATCTTTTATTATCGATAAGCAAAAATTATGAAAAGTTGATATTTTGAAAATATATATCGTGACGAATCTAACAAGATCTGACATGACTATATTTCTCATTACGTATAAAGCACAAAACACGGTCAAATGAAAGCGTATGAATAGTGCTAAAGTCAAAACGTGTCAACTAAATAAAAACGGAGGTAGTATGAAGGAAAGGATTATCATTTCGTAATAGGTCCCTAAATATAATATCATTTCACCTGTAATATATATATATATATATATATATATATATATATATATATATATATATATATATATATATATATATATATATATATATATATATATACGGGAGGGTTCCGCTAAAAACAGGGCTTATGGTGAAAACTAAAAACAGCAAATCTCAGCCATTGATTATTAATGATATAATCTAACGGTTGAAATACAAGGTACACAAAATCTTAGCAAATTTCAGCAAATCCTCTGTTAATTTTGCTGAAAAACGCAAAATCTCAGCAAATTTCAGCAAATCCTCTTTTCATCTCATTATCAAATCGTCAATTCCTCAATTCGTCAAATTTTAGGGCTACTTTGATTATTTACTCCCAAAATTGAGGGCTCGTGATTCTTCAATAATTTGGGGCTTCCTCAATAATCTTAGTAAGTGTTCTTCATTCTTTAATTTCTGTTTTTAGCTGAATTTCTAGTTGATTGCGGCTTACAATACCGATATAACTGTGATTATTTCCTTGTATATAAGCTGAATTTCTTGAATTTCTATTTGATTGCTCTGTTTTTTAGTTTCAATCTCATCAACTTGTAGTTTCAATCCTCATCAACAATATGCTCTTTTTTCGTTTTTGTATAAATATTTGCAATATATATATATTTTTTTTATATTAAAGTTTTTTTTTCCTGGATATATGATATTAAACACTAGGAGAAATTGTTGCACATAAGGTGTTTGTGTATTTGCTTAAATGACTAACACCTTGCTTAATACGATATAGTAACTCTTTTTTATGATACCATAACCATATATTTTAGACTGTTTTTGTTGGTGTCCAGTTAGTTGCACCATGGAATGGATTATTTTATTATAGTACCCATTTTAAACCATATATTTGATATTATATGCAGACAATGCAAGAGGAGTCAGAAGAAGGTAGTTGCTCAAATACATCTACAACTACCAATGTTGCTGAAAACTTACCGTCACTAAAGGGCCCAAGTGTGTGTTACACTCCCAGAGGAACAAAAGAGTTTATACCGTGTTGTCCCCCTGAACTAAAGCCTACACTTGGTATGCTTTTTGATTCCTTACTTAAAGGTGTTGATTTTTATAAGCAATATGCTAGATTTGGTGGGTTTGTGGTAAGACTAGGTACTGAAAAGAGAATTAAAGATAGTGATAAAGTCTACTTGAAATATTTACATTGTAATAAACAAGGGTTTACGAAGGATGGTGAAACTAAAGCAAAAGTTTCTAACAAAGATAAAAATCCTAAAGCTAGAAAAAGAACCATAAATCGTGTTGGATGTAATGCAATGATTGGGTTTAGAGAACGTTCAGATGGAAAATGGATGGTTTATGTCTTTCATGAATCTCATAGCCACAATCTTGCTTCTCCCAACACAATGAATTTTTTGGCAAATGTTGGAAACCTTAAACTTGGCCAGAAAAAATTCATTTTTGACAACTCTAGATTGAACATTGGTCCAAACAAGTCTTATAAGTTGATGAAAGAACATCTTGGTAGCTATGATAATATAGGTGCAACATTGAATGATTTCAAGAACTTTAATCGAGACTTGAAAGCTTACATACAAGAGAAAGATGCTTCGATGTTTATAAACAATTTGAAAGAAAAAGCTGAAAACAGTGAAGGTGCCTTTTTCTTTGAGCATTGTATGGATGAACATCAACGCTTGACAAGAGTATTTTGGGCAGATGCAATTAGTAGAAAAAATTATTCGTTGTTCTGTGATATGATTACATTTGATACAACATTTGACACCAACAAATACTCTATGGTTTTTGCCCCATTTACGGGTGTTGATCACCATGGTAAGTGTGTGACTTTTGGGATAGGCTTACTTGCAAAGGAGGATATTGAATCCTTTGAATGGTTATTTGAAACTTTCTTAAAGGCAATGAATAACTGTCAGCCTACCTGTATCATGACAGATCAAGACCCTGCGATGAAAGTGGCAATTGAAAAAGTTCTTGATAAGGCAAAACATAGGTTTTGTATGTGGCACATTATGAAAAAAGTGCCACAAAAGGTAGGGCCCAAATTATGCTTAGAAACTGATTTTCTTCATAAACTAAACTCTGTTGTGTGGAATAGAGACCTTGAACCAGAAGAATTTGAAATTGGTTGGCAGTCTGTGATGTCTGAATTTGATTTAGTGAATGAAGATTGGTTCAAAAATATGTATAATATAAGGAATATGTGGATTCCTTCCTACTTTCGTGACCTTTTTATGGGTGGGATTTTAAGGTCAACTCAAAGATCAGAGAGTGAAAATAGCTTTTTCACTAATTTCACCAATCAGCATTTGTTATTGGTTGAGTTGTGGTTTCGCTATGAATCTGCAATCGATGCTCAAAGGCACACACAAGACAAGTTGAATGCTACTTCAAAAACTACACATCCCCAACTTGTCACCCCCCTGTACTTGGAAAAGCATGCTGCATTTGCTTACACTCATAATGTATTTTACATATTCCAAAAGGAATTCAAGCATGCTTTGTACAATTGTGGTATAAGTAATGTTACCATCAAAGAAGAAGAAGGGATTGAGCAATATAGAATTGTTGACAACACAAGGAAAAAAAGCTATCATGTCACATATGTTTTGTGTTCTAATGATGCTTCATGCTCTTGTAAAATGTTTGAATCTGTTGGAATATTATGTCGTCACATTCTCTTTGTCATGAAAGGAAAGTTCTTATTTGAGATTCCAAGGCAATATGTTTTACATCGTTGGACTAAAGAAGCTATGAAGAAACCAATTTTTGGCTTAAACAACTTGCTTGATGGGGCAGAGAAGGATAAGAAGCAAAAGCTAGTTGGTGATTTATGGTGCAGGTTTTTTTCATGTGTAAGTCTTTGTGAGGAGAAAGTTGAATGCCTAGAGTCATTGTTGTCTAAGCTAATATCTTTTGAAAATGAGATGAAAGACTTGGATTCTATAAGTCCAGTTGATAAACGTGAGGCAAAAAATAAACACATCGAATTATTTGTTGGATCTAATGACATAGTTGTTGATATTCTTCCTCCAAACAAGTCTTCCAACAAAGGTAGTGGTAGTGGAAAAAGGAAAAAATCTGACAAAGAGATAGCTATTGAGGAAAGCCAAAGGAAAGATAGACTTTGTAGAACTTGTGGTCAGAGAACAAACCATGATAGTCGGAATTGTCCGCAAAAAAAATCCAACTTGAATGAGGTATTTTTGTAGAAAAAAATAAATAAATTTTGTACTATGTTTACTTCCCACTAGATTTTCACTTTATATATGTTCGTGTACATGATTTCAGGATTTCAAAGAAGAGTAGAAAGGCTGCAAAACCACTTCATATTTACAAGAAGCAACATCGGCTACTGACAGCCTAGTGCTGAAATAGAGGAGATGAGAGGAAAGAAAGAACATAGTGCTATAGTGCCCTTTTTATTGATATAGTGATTGTTATTGTTTCACATATATTAAACAGGGACCTTTTATTGCTCAAATTTTATTGATAGGGTGACCTTTTATTGTTAAACTTTTTATTGACCTTTATATTGTTATTTTGATGTAGTGACATATTGGCATATGATAACTTCAATTTATATTATAGTATGTGTTTTTAACGTCATAGTGACTTTTTTTCATCGTATTGACACCTTATTCCGTGATAACCTTTTTAGTGATATAATGACCTTTATTATGATATAACAACCGTATAAAAAATACTCACATTTTAACAATTCTTCTAATCCACATCGATTAAGCCAATACAAAGTTAGGGAAGGAGGGGCTCGTTCTTTTAATTGATATACTAAATGAATAGCTTAAGAATAGATTAATATAAATACGACACTTTTACCTTACATAGTGACCTTTTATTTAAATAGAGACAGATTATTATAGACATCTTTTTTATCACATAGTAACGCTCTTGCATCTCATAGTGATCCTTTTGCATCGCATAGTAATTGGAAATTTTTACCTCATATAATGCCATTTTACTTACATAATGACTATAAAAAGTAATATAATATCCTTTTTCAAGTTTTTCTTTTCTTTTTTAAGAGATAAAAAAAAGTTAGACATTTTTAGGTACATATTTATCATAGGTCCTTTGAAAACTTGTCACATATGTATACAAAATATAATAATGAATATGGTGATAATTTTGCATTATAACTTAATTATATATAACACATTGAACTAATAACATTTTAAATACATAGTGACCTTATAATATAGAAACCTTTTAAATAACATAGATACCTTTTTAAATACATAGTGACCTTATCATATAGAAACCTTTTTAAATAACATAGGTACCATTTTTTTATAACATAGGCGCCAAATTTATAACTAATATATATTTCACTAAACTTTCTTGAATGTCAATTAAAGATTACATATCAAAAGAACTACCAATACCACCAATTCAAAAGCTTTGTATGAACTGGAATCATATCATATTGTTCTATATTAACACTTATACAATTTTGTCAGATTATCCATTTGTTGATGCAAACTACATCATTACATTAGATTTCCTACTTCTGTGCAAAATACAAATACTTCCGAGCAAAAAACTTCATCCACATATTCGTTAGTCTGCCTATACTTTCTTTTCCTTTTTACCTTGCTTTGTTTTCTTCTTAATCCCATCAAAAACATCTTTTGCAACTTGACTCCTTATTAATCTGAATTCAGATAGCTTTTCAAGAACTTCATCTCTGACAATGTTCATATCAGATAATACCAGAGTAGCAGCAATCTGAGCTCTCAATGTCCGTCTAGTTGAAACCTAAATTTAAGCAAAAATTAGAATAAAAAAGCTAGTTAAATTCCATGGAGGAAATAGTTAATATAATAAAAATTGAAAGCCAAATAAAAAAAATGAGACGAGATAACCGTTTTCAAAACATTGCAGTCGAACACATCAGCTCCATCAAAGTAAAGCATGCTGACCATAGTATAAATGCCACTATCATTATTCTTCTGTTTTCCAGACTTCCAATTTACAGAAGGTGACTCCAAAGTATACTCAATCATGTTCTTCACTGAGTCATTACTTTGAGGAAGGCGTTGATCAAGAAAAGTACTCAGCATATCACTCTAGGCAAAATAAATTAATACTTTAGGTTCCATGAAGCATATCCTAACTAGAAAAATACAAATAAAATCCAAAATATCATATTTTTACCAGAACATCAGAGAACTTCTCAACCTCACTCATGTACTTTGTATCATAACTCATATTATCTATGAACTGAAGCTTTTCTTCCTTCAAATTCACAACAATTAGGAAAAAGTGTTCATTCAAGAGTATAGGAACAAATATCTGCAATAAATAAATAAACAACTATTAAGCTTGAAAAACTTAATATAAAAGTACTTAGTTGAAAAATGATTGTCAACATTTGCAATGTATTACCAACTCAACATTTGCAATATCAAAATCATTGCAAGGAATGAACAACCATCTTGACCAAATGTCAAATAGCTTGTCAATGTCTTGTGTGTTACTATCTGTGTTTGCAACTTTCAGTAAAAAAGCCTAAAAAAGAACAAACATTAATAAATATTAAAAAAATTAGAAGGTAGAGTTATTTTTCTTAAATGTAATTACTTGCATTACATAGTGACTGTTTTCATTGCATAGTGAAATTAATTTATGAATCATAGTGACTGTTTTCAATACATAGTGAAATTAATTTATGAATTTTTTATAATGAACAACTACCATTATAATGATGTAGTAACTAAATAGCCGAAAGATACTTACACTTTGAGAAACACCAAAATATAGTTTTTGAGGTCCATGTGCACTACTCTTCTGGTTTTCATTAAGCAACATAGCCCAACAATCAATAATAACAGAAGATATAGCAATAGCCGGTGCACCTAATGAAAGGAATTCATTCCTTGTAATCTCAAATGGTTTGCCAAAAGATACCAACACCTCACTGTACAAGGAAATAAAAAGACACATGTATATTAACATAGTCACTTATTATTAAAATTTGAAAATAAATAACAAAAAGAACAATGACATGACTTACTTGAGATCGAAACCATGATAATCACTAATGCAGTAGTCAACAAGTTCCTGGACAACTGCATCCAAAACCTTCATATCCTTATTACTTGACTTCATATATTCAGTTACATATGTAACTTTATCACCAAAGAGACTAACATCCATAGCAAGGGAGCATTTAGATTTTCCATTACTCAAAACATGCTCAAAACCTATCCTTGGAACCTCACCAACTACAACATTAATCTCTTTTGCAGGTGCACCATTATCATCAATATCATCATCATCCAAACCATTAGGCACTTTGCTTACCCAATTTACAAGAGACACAATCTCATCAACAATTTCATGAACACGAGGATTCATAAAGAATAAATCAGTTTGGGACATTGGAGGTGTCGAAGTTGAAGCATCATTAGATTTACGAGTCTGAAATAACACTTTCAACTCATTCATGTAGAAGTTAGATACCACTTCTAAATCTCTTTTCATGAGCAAAAACTTCTCATAAACTTCCTGTGAAAAAAAAATGTACCACTTAGATTTAATAAAATAATTTGTGACAAAAAAAAAAAAAAGAAAGAAAAAACCAAACAGACAGACAGAATTAAAGGGTAAAATACTTACATCAATAGCAATTGAACGGATTTCCTCATTAGACATTGAACTGGCAGGTAGCTCAAACTGAATAACACCCTTAACATTGCTACGGACACCTTCATAAACAACAGATTCTTTTCCAGAAGTTTGATTCACAGGAGCTTCCTTGAATTGATTACAAACAACTTGTCCATCCTCAAATTGCAACTTCTCACTCACTGGATATGTATCAAACTCAAGAATTCCACACCCAAAACCCTTGGACAACTTTTCATTTCTAATTCTATCTCTTATATCCACATCAGTCCAATGTTGAATTAAAGGTATTGTAGAATTTAACACAACATTCCTAAACCTCAATCGATGAAAATAGATAATCTCTAACATCAAAACACAACCACAAAACCATTCTATATTTCCTTCTTTGTAGCTCTTCACAGCTTCACAAAGTCTATCTAAGACATATTTTGACCAATTATAAATTCTTATTTGATTAACATCAACCAAACATTTTACAATTCTCAAATCCACAGTTCTGTTGGACGTAGGTGCTAAAAAACTTGAAAAAGCATGCATGATAAAAAGCTGTCTGAATTCTTCCCCACCATCTACTAGTAAAGGGATCTTAGATTCCAAAAAACCCAAAGGAATCTGATCATTCTCACCCATAAGACCAAAATGAGACCTCCATTTAACCTTTAAATCATAATCAGGGTTGATGACATTAGCACAACGAGAAATTTCTTCAACTTTCTTAGATGTTTTGCAAGGAAGGCAAAAAACATCATACACATCAAATTCAGTCACAACAAAATCTTTTTTACCATCAATAGTAAACATGCAGCTACCATGATCAAAACAATCTACCAACCATGATAGCATATCAGTTGCAGTTCGTTTCACCTTCAAAGACAACAAACCTCCAAAGCCAATTTCTTTAACAGCCTTGATTTGATCATCTGAAAAAGTTTTAATCATCTCTACTAAATGAAATGGCCTGCAACGTGTTTTAAATCCTCGTTGCACCCTGTAACAAGACATACGAAAAGATAAACAAAAGAAACCAAAATAGTAGCCTCTTTTTATAGCATAGTGACCTTTTTTTTAAACAAAACTTCAAAAAAAAAGAAACAAATATTCACTTACATATGTACATCACTATCTATGATTGCAGATTCTTGCCTATGAATCACAATGTTCTTATCCTTATTTGCCTTCACTTTCTTCACTTTAAGACCTTCATTTTCATCCAACTTTCTCTTCTTAGCTGGCAAAACAATAGCATGTGAAGAAGAAGACTTATTCCCCTTCTTTCCTTCCATCACAGTTGACAAAGGTATAGCATTCTCAATGTTAGAAGGTTTCTTTTTCTTAGTGATAGCTTTCTTTTTCAATCCTTTTTCAATACAAGCATCTTTATCTCTGTTAGTATCATCATCGATCATTTTGCTTCCATCATCAATATGCTCTTCATCTTCATGATCGAGATTGATACATGCTAAAAACACGCAAGCATATAGTTATATATACAATTATCTTCATTTTAATCTAGCAAACAATTATAATATAGCAAACTAATAACTTAAAAATAATAATCATTGTCATTGATATAGTGACCTTTTTCAGTTACATAGAGAACTAATAATATAGTAACTTTTATATTAATATAGGGACCTACATTCTATAGTATTAGGAGACTATCATAATAGAGCAACTAGTATATTAAGGTTAATAATCCAAAAATCAAACATTCATCATACCTCCTGTATCTTTCAATTTAACTCCTCCTGTTGAGCTACGAAGGCCTCTCCTTTTTTTAAAAGTAGCACCACCTCTAGTTCTCACCATAGTTATAAAATCTAATCCAAATCGAATGAAAATCCTTGTTGCACCCTGTAACAAGACATACAAAAAGATAAACAAAAGAAACCAAAGTAGTTGCCTCTTTTTATGGCATAGTGACCTTTTTTTAAAACAAAACTTCAAAAATAACATAGTCCAACACCCCTCCAAAAAGATTCAGTTTATTTTGGTTTGGTTTAGAACAAGTTCAGGTCATATTCATATTTATGTCTTTTGACAACCAATTTGTTTACGAATAAAAAAATCAATTCAAGTCAGGTCAGGGCAGTGAAAATCAAATCAAACTAAGGTATCCAAATCCTCGAATTCTGGCTACCTTGATTCAAGTTCAAAACAGGCCTAATTCAGAAATTTTGAAGCAAAATCCAGTACAGAGTCAAATTAACCATGCACATATGTCAGACTAGAAGTACACTTTTCAACAGTCAAGAAAGTCATGTAGATGTCGATTTAGCATGATCAGAAGCAATCTATCACAAATCCACCCCAGATGTTTGTTCCTGGGTTAGTCGCTTAAGCAATCTGCTCTCAACACCAAAAATCGGACATATAGAATCAAAGTCAGTATCTTAAACCAGGAAGCATTCTTCATACTTTATGTTCTTTCTTTCTTTCTTTCTTTCCACGGTTGATGTGGAAAGAGTCTTTGCATCAATATCACAAACACCAGAAAATTTATCTAAGTGCAAAAGGCAAATAATTCATGTAGGAACCTAATGACATTTGATGCAGCTGAAACCACTTCAAATCACAAATAAGAAAAGACAGGTTGTAAGAGAGAAACACAACAGCATCAAGGAACACCAATGCAACCAAGGCAGTTAGTCCATCTCCAAACATGTCACCATGTTGGTCAGGTCTCAATTCCAGATCATCATTAGCAAGAGATTGATGACCATTCCTGTTGCCTACACCAAACGGAACACGGGAAAATACAAATCGAGTTGGACACCAAGTGGAAGCAGGAACCAGTGTAGCTAATTTATGTCTCCAAACTCTCACTAATTCACTCACAAATCCACTAAAAACACTTCAAATTACTCAAAATTCGAATTAACTACTCCAAACTCTCACTAATTCACTCACAAATCCACTAAAAACATTTCAAATTACTCAAAATTCGAATTAACTACTCCAAACTCTCCCGAATTCACTCACAAATCCACTAAAAACACTTCAAATTACTCAAAATTCGAATTAACTACTCCAAACTCTCCCGAATTCACTCACAAATCCACTAAAAACACTTCAAATTACTCAAAATTCAAATTAACTACTCCAAACACAAACACACACACACAATTCGCATTTTAGTTATTCGCATTCCTAACAGGCATTAATTCGAAATCAAAATCCACAAAAATCAGCTAAACTCGAAATCAACAAAAACAAAATTATGCTCAACAAAAATCGTGTTACTAAGAAGATGAAGAAGAACAACAAAAGCAGAATTTCGAGCAAAAATACACATAAAAACCTAGTTTACTTAAATTAAGAAAAATTAAACAAAATACATTTAAAAAATACTTCTACTAAAACGAAACTTAAGTTGAAATTCAAAAAATAAAATCAAATCGAAAAAATAAAATAAAAAAACATGCAAAATTACAAAATTAAACAAAAATCATACACGAAAACATAATAGACATTAAATTTTCGGTTGAATCTACAAAAAAGTACTCATGAAATTCCAGCAAACAAAATTTCAGAAACCTAATAACCTCAAATCGTGCAAAAATAGCGAAATTACCACAAAGAACTCACCTGATAATAGATCGTAGAGCTGAGAAATTGCTAAAAATCAAAGTAATTGAAGCGGTGTTGCTGAAGGAGTTCGCTGATGGTAATTGAAGCGATGTTGCTGAAGGAGTTCGCTAATGTCGAGAAATTAGGAGAGAGAAAGTGAAGAGAGAAGGAAGAGGAGGAAGAAAATAACAGAGGAAAGAGAAAGTGTTTTCGCGGGAGGAGAGAGAAAATTAGGATATATATACATTAAATATCATCCGTTAGATTATAATCTACGGCTGGGATTAATTGTTTTCATGTTTTCACCCTAAGACTTGTTTTTACATGATCCTAATCCTATATATATATATATATATATATATATATTCAGTTTTTTCCTTTTAAATTTTTTTCTTTTTATTTTTTTTTTTAAAATTTTTGATACGTACACTTTAATCAATTAATCTACTCATACCATTTTATTTATTATTAAAGCTTGGTCTGGTGGGAAAGTTTCATTTCACAAATAAGAGGTTGTGGGACCAAATCTCACTAGTAGCACTTTGGAGTGGGGATTTTCTTACCCTTAACCTTCCCCCCGCTCCCACTCCTAAAGTGTCTAGCTCGTTGAACCGAGGTGGGGGGATTTGTGAGAGGTTCCAGCTCTGTAGGCCCTTCTCCTTACCAATTAAAAAAAAAATAAAAATAAATAATCTAAAGTGATTTGTTAAGAATGTCTAACTACTATAACTAACTCGACAGAATATTGCATGCAATAAATTGACACGAACTACAGAAGATTTAGCCTAATGTACTGATAACATTAACTGACCTAAGCTTTAAGATGCCAAGTCATCAACATGGTGGTTTTTCATTGGTCGAGTGACGACATTACTCTTCAATAATAGTCTTCATTTTAATTTTTTTATATATTTATTTTTTAAAAATAGGAATTCGATTTTGATTTTAATGCCATTTTGGCAGATGCTTGGTAAGTGAGAGAGTGAGACCAAATTCGTTGGCCAACCAAATCCCATGACCAATTTCATACTTCCTAATTAACTAATGTGGACTATTTATGCATTTAGCTAACTAATCTATCAACCAAACTCAGTTGACTTCTCAAAAGTTTGATTCAACCTAAGTATTCTTTCTACTCCTAAAACTCACATTGTTGGCAATTTAATTTCCTTAATAAACAATTAAAGTGTAATTTAGGAGTATAAATCATTTTACTTGTGTGAAATTCAACATCTCTCTTACATATATGGGTGTATTTAACAATAGATATAGAATATAAACTAAACAAATTTTATTTTTTAATTTTGTTTTGGTGATTTTACATAAATGTTTTAAATGGTGCATGGGTGATGAGAATTTTTATTTTTTTTTCAAGTGTGAAAACGAAGTAAAGTGATGAAGAAGAATTTGAAGAGAGAGTAATTTTAGAGAGATCATGAGTTGCTATTGAATGTAGATTGATCCTAAGTAGTTGAGTTTGGAAAGAATTACTGTTTGCTTGATCGCTTAAAGTGATAAATGAACCTTCAATTAGTGATAACGTTTTATATCACTTGTAGGGAATGAACTTTAAAGTGACTAGGGCAGCTAACGAGAGCGCCATACTTAGTCCTTTTCGGAATCTTTTTTGGTTTGGCCTTACATCACAAATTTAATTATAAATAATATTAATGAGAAAAAATATATAAATAAATATATTTAGGGTTATAAATGTCTACGTACTATTCTTAAGAGTTAAAAAAAAGAGGTAATTATTATTGATGAGAGTAAATAAGTAAATAAACATTTTAGATGGTATAATTGTCCGAACACTATTCATTTAAAAAACTTGTATCGTACATATTTATAAGGGTATATATGTAAATAATTAGCCATTTGCGGAATCTCTTTCGGTTTGGCCTTACATCATAAATTTAGTTATAGACAATATTAATGAGAAAAAAAAATATAAAATATATATAGGGGTATAAATGTCTATGCACTATTCTTAAGAGTTAAATAAAGAGGTAATTATTATTAATGAGGGTAAATAAGTAAATAAACATTTTAGATGGTAGTTCAAACACTATTCATTTAAAAAAAACTTGTACATATTAATAAGTGTAAATATGTAAATACACCTTTTAAAGGGTATAATTGGCATAACACTATTCATAAGAGTAATCTTGTACTTTTTATAAGGTAGGGATTCTATAAACCTTAATTTACTAAGTATTCAAATTTGTTACAAACTTGAGTGGTTTTAATATGAATACATTTTGAAAGGTAAGTCCATGTCCATTGATCACCATTATTCAAATTCAGACATCAAAACAGATTTGTTACACTGCATATACGCAGATTGTGATCAGCATAATATCTTATTAATAGAGGGAAGCCCGTGCGATGCACGGTTTTTTCATCTAAGATTTTTAATTATTTGATATATTGTATTTAACAATTTCAGACAAAATTACCAAAGTTTATTTTTTTTACTATAATTTATAATGAATCTATTAAATACAATCTTTACATTTATATAAAATAAATCAATATATTTACCAAGAAATGAAAAATTGTTGCGATATAAAATCAAATCTATGCATTGAAATTTTTTAATTGGTCGAAAACATACCTTTGCTTATGTGATGCACCAAATGCTCTTTAAAAATGCCTACTTTATTTATATATGCCTACTTTATTTATATATAATATTAGATTAGATTTTTTTTTAAGAATATTGATTTTTTTTTAAAAAAATTGAAGAATATTAGTTAATTATTAATAATTTATATTTCTTTTAATTTTTTTTTTAAAAAAATTGATTGAACGTTTTCTTAAAAAAAAAATGAACATATTTTTCTTTTTTCAAATATTTAATTTTAAAGTGTTTGTATATAATAATTGTATAATTTATAGTTTTTTTTTTAATTTAAATCCTAATATCAAAAGATCATCTTTTAAAAAAGATAATTTTTAGTTTTAAAATATTTTAAATCTTAATAAATCATTATTCGTCGTTTTTACCTACGTGGCAAAATTTTTAAATTTCATTCGTCACTTTTGCTTATGTGGCGAGTGAATTTTTTAATTCTAAAATAAAATACAAATCTAACTTTTAATTGGTCGAAATAATATCTTTGCTTACGTGGCGCGCCAAATGCTCTTCAAAAATGTCTACTTTATTTATATATATTAGATTTGGTGAATTCACTTCAAAATCTATCATTTTTTCACTAATATTAAACCTATAGTTATTTAAAATCCTTATAAGACTAGAATTGAATGTCGAATGACACAACAAATTGTTTCATAATTATTTATATATACACATTAAAAGTAAGAAATTATGTGATATTCAAATTAAGAAATCTACTCAATATTTCCTTTTTCACAAAGATACAATGATATATATTTTCTATATTCCTATTTAAAATTTTAGTAAGGAAAAAACTAACGAACGCTCCCAGGGTGTTAGATAAAGTAGTTAAAAGTAGAAATATTAAATTAAAATGACTAAATGAGTATTAATTACATCGATCGACGAGTGATTTTGTTATGCATTCTCAAATTAGGACCACTTTACAAGATATTTTAAATGCTTATTTAACGTTCGGGAGTGTTCGTTAGCAAGATCCTTTTAGTAAATATATTCGAAGAGACACGATGCAAAAACCTTACAATTATGGTAACAAATTCAACCAAAGAATCTAATTTTGGCCAGAAAGAAAAAGAAATAAGTACTCCTTAACATAGAGTAATTTGTGGAAAAAGGAATGGAGTCCTTTGCTTCAAAAACTTTCCTAAAACAAAAAACATAAACTCAACCAATAAAAACAAGCCACCTAATTTTCTCTCTCCTTTGACTTTCCTCCCTAACCCCAAACGCTCACACCTATAAATTAATTTTTCGTTCCTTTTCAACACCTAACTAACAATAATAATCCCACAACTTTCTTTCTTTTTCTTTCAATTCTCTAAACCCAAAAAATAAAAAAAAAATAAAAAATTAAAATTAAAAATTAAAAATTTAAAAAAAAAAATGAAGGGAGGAAAACGAAGCCCAGTTCAGGCAGTGAATGTATGGGTTCGGCGACAACCACCGAAGATGAAGGCGTTTCTTGCGGTGGTTGTCGGAATGGCAGCTTTAGTGTTTCTTCGTATGGTTGTTCAAGATCACGACAACCTCTTTGTTGCCGCCGAAGCTGTTCACGCCGTTGGTATTGCCGTCCTAATTTATAAACTCACCAAGGAGAAAACTTGCGCTGGTAATTTTTATGATTTATTTTTCAATTTTTAATTTTGGCAATTCTAGGGTTTTCTTTATAATTAATATAATTGATTTTTACTGATGTAATTTGGATTTTCTGATAGTTGGTTTTTTTATTTGTGCATGTTTTGATGTGTGGGTTTGTTGAAAATGTTGTTAATTGTGAGCGTTTTTTAAATTTTTTTATTTGGGGGTTGGATTTTTTATTTTTATTTTTATGTTTTTGAGTGTAATTTATACTGTAGCTGATTTTTTGGCTGGTTTGATTAATTTCCTTTCTTAATTAGGAAATTTAAAAATTATGGGGTTTAAAGGTTGAATTTTTATAATCAATTTTCAATTGTATTTCTCAATTTTGTTTTGAGAAAGGGTGGATTTGTTGTTATAAATAGTTGATCTGTTTGTGAATTTATAGTGTTATGTATCTAAAGACTGAGGTTTTGATCTTTTTGTTACACTAGTGTAAATTGTAGAGTTATGTTTTTACACTATTAAAAGGTGAAACTAATTTGGTTGGTTTTGATCATTATAGACTCAAAGTTGTCATCTTTGCAAGGATGCCATGTAACCTTGGCTTGTCCTTGGTTGCATTGCTGTTATATTTTCAGATTTTTTTTTTTTTTTTTTTTTTTTTTTTTTTTTGCAAGATATATTTTCAGAATTTTCATTTTTCGGGTGCTTGATTTTTTGTTTTTAATTTAAAATTTCTATTGGATATTTCGTTTTCTTTTTCTAATATTTGTGCATGTTTTGATCTGCGGTTTTTGTTGATTATTAATCAATCAATTGGCCTGTCTAATTTTGGTTTTTGTTGATTATTTAATAAAAAGACAAATTTGTATTTTCTCTTAAAATTGATAAATACTTTTATGTTATGGCTGATTTTGGGTGTAAATGAATTTTAATAATTAAACTCATTGAATAATGTTGTTTTTATTTATTTATTTATTTTTTATTATATATATATATATATATATATATATATATATATATATATATATATATAATGAAATTTTTAGAATTATGGAATTGTTTAGATTATGTTGTTTCATGGAGATATTTATTTTTAGCTTACTCTAATTACATTCTGCAAATGATGACTACTGCATACAAAGTTCTAAACATTACAGTGTAAATGCGATACCTTAATCATCAATTGCTATTAGCCTATCAATTGGGTGATAATATGATGCTAGAATGTGAAATGTATACCCAACATATTAATATAGGAATGAATTTTGATTCTTTGATAATTTGTCCTTGTGATTGCCCCTAGAATGAGATGGTAAAATAGAAAGATAATGGATCCTATGGGGTTGGTTTTGATCATTGAAGAGTGTAACATATTGTCTTTGTGAGATTGTGTTTTAAAAGTTTATTGGTTGCATAGCTACTAATTTGATACAAACTTTTTATTCTTGTTTCTTCACCCCGACCTTCATGTACTCCGTACTACAATTGGTGCTCTTGATTTTGTAATGATTTGTTGATTATGCAATATTATGTTATTTTTGTATGTCTGAGAGATTCTCATCATTGTTTGTGGCTCATTATCGCAGGACTTTCTCTGAAATCTCAAGAACTTACAGCTATATTTTTAGCTGTTAGGCTGTACTGTAGCTTTGTGATGGAATATGATATTCACACATTACTAGATACAGCTACGCTGGCAACAACTCTCTGGGTTATTTATATGATTCGATTTAGACTGAAGTCCACTTATATGGAAGAGAAAGACAACTTTGCAATCTATTATGTGGTAAGTCTGCCGTTGCTATTTTCTAGTTAATAATGATAGAACTGTTTTCTTGTAACAATGAATGAGATTCATATAAAGTTTAATTGATATACATTTTCTGATTTTAAATCTAAAAAATATTGTTGATTATGTTTTGATCTAGCATTTTCTAGGGATTGGAGATAGTAATGATTGTCATCTCCAACAATTATATCCTCATGATCTGGTTTGTTGGAGATGAGGAATGATGGATATGTTGAAAATGATATCTTGTAGTTTATAACTGCGTACTTGGAGTCAGGGATAATCTTAGGCTGAAATTGGGTTCTATCTTGATTGATTGTAGACATGTCTTCATGAATGGAATTTTCAAACTTTAATGACTTGGAATCCAGAGGTATGATATTGCAAACTGAGCAATAGACTAGGTGAATCACTGCGAATGAAGGGGATTTTTTAAATCGAAACTTCTATGATTCAGGATTGCCTCTGTGTATAATAATATAATTTTTTGACAGGAAACAAATACAAGTTTTTGCTTAAGAGTTATTGTGATTTCATTATTTGAGTCATTTTGACTTTGTAAAATATTATTCATTACACTGCCTCTTCGTGTGTGTGTGTGTGTGTAAGCCTCATATGCTCTATTATTTTTCCTCTTCTCATAGAAGTTGAAATTCTACATTTATTTATTGTGTCTGACTTGCATTTAACTATGGATGTAGGTGGTACCTTGTGCTGTATTGTCTCTTCTTATTCATCCTACCACTGTCCATAACATTGTCAATAGGGTTAGCTGGGCATTTTGTGTCTACCTGGAGGCTGTTTCAGTGCTACCTCAGCTACGAGTCATGCAAAACACAAAGGTAGAAGATCAGTTCCTTTGGTTCTATAACTGCAACGGCATGCTTTATGTTGTTAATATCTTATTGTTTTGTATCATTTTATTTCTTGTTTGTTTGAATTGAGACGTAGTATTCTATTACATTGTGCTGAGTAATATTTACTCGTGTTCAACTTTATTTTTATTTTTTTATTTATTTAAATAATGAGATCAAGTCATTTGATTGCTTCTCACTATTAGTTTCTTTCCATTCCAGATCGTTGAGCCCTTCACGGCTCACTATGTTTTTGCTCTGGGGGTGGCAAGATTTTTGAGCTGCGCACATTGGGTTCTTCAGGTATGAGCCTACAGGATCTAGAGTTCATTTTGTCAGTTCATGGTGAACATATATGATTTTTTTAGTTTAAATATGCTGATTTTGTGTTGCTTTTGTTCCCTGGAGCTGAGTTATCTTCAACTATTACTCAACATAGTTTTTCAATGCTGGTTTAACACTGCAATTCGGTTTACTAGTTACTCCTCATATTTGTGTTCGACATAGTAGTGGTGAGCACTAGCTTCTAGCAGATAAGGTTCTGTTTTGTACAAGCTGCTACAATTAGGTTCAAGAGTAGTGTTGTCCAAAGCCTATAAATTAACCTTTAGGGTAAAAAAGATTATTGCTCACTACTGCAAAACTAGTTACACTGAATATTACATTATACTTTATTTTGAAACCTAATTCTTAACTTTTATCATTTACTTCCTCCATCTCATAGCACTTGCAACACTTCTGTTTTTACGATAGCCAATGCATAATTTTAACCATTAAGATCTTAAATTCTCAATAAGTAAAACTTATATAAATAAAAAGAAAAAAAAAAAAACACACTTTTGAATATGTACAACGAGGCAAATTTAACAAATTCCCATATAATTATATTTTTCCTTGAATATAAACCATCATATACGCCTATACAGTGGAAGTAGAGTATGTGAATAGTTTAAAAGTCAAAAGATGGTGAGATGGAGGAAGTATCTTGTTGCGTTTAACAACTAGTGAAATTTTTGATGACTACTGTAGTAATTTTAATAGCTATCACAACTGCATCTGCTAGTTGTGTGATTCAGGCCTTGTATATGAGGCCATATTCAACTGCGCTCTGTTTACCATACATTTGTGAGGTTTCCTTTCCCCTGGCTGTGTGGCTGTGTGCAATGCAAGCTTCTTCTGTGGTTCTAGGTGAATGTTGCCCCAACCAAAGGCACCCTTAATCCTTAGTGTCTAGATACAATGCAATGTTGCAATGTTCATAAGCCAAAGTTGATGTTAGAGGTTGTGTTGCTTATCTTGGAATTTATATCCAAATAAGGAGAAAGTATCAAATAGGGAGCAATGTCCAAAAAGAGGGTCATGCTAAATCGCCAAAATGGTGGGAGGCGGAGATCTGCTGGGTAAACCCACAGTAAGGCACTGCTCGTTTTACCTTTCACAAGATAACTTTCTGGTCTAATAAGACTGGGTAAGGTATAATATGTTTAAATTAGTTCTTATAAGGGTACTTAGCAAATCTGACTTGTATACTTTACTGATTAAGAGGAAATTTTAGGAAGGAAGCTTGGAAATTTGGTTAACAGATTATTGATCTCTTACAAAAGGTAGTAGGTTTAGCCTACAAACTCATATTAGTGACTTGAGGTCACAACTCTCCTAACAGTGACTTAAGGTCACAACTCTCCTAACAATAAGGTCACAACTCTCCTAAGCAATCACTCCAAAATTCTGCCTCCCTTCTACTTTCCCTCCTCTATCTATTTATACTAAAGCTAAAGACTCTAACCTGATATTAGACTTCCCAAATTACCCCTCCTAAGATTAGTCTATTACAGAACAGTCTAGTATGGGGGCTGAGAGAAGAGGCCAGGAGGGGGAATGAGAACGGTTAACTTGATATATACACATCTTGATTCCATTAAATAACAAGGAATCAAAAATAGTAAAAGAACAATTTAATCTTTTTCTTGAATTGAACATTTTATTTGAGGTAAAACAAATCTACAATGGATAAGAAGGGAAGAGTAAAGAGATTGCAACTATCACTATGTCAACTCCAATATGTCTTCACCACTTTGCAATCCTAGCTCTGGAAACCACTAAACTAACTACTTTGATGATAAATTAAAGGAAAAAATACTACTCTAGAATCAATTTTATGGGAATACGGAATCCCCTTGCAATTTTTACCCGGTCTTAAAAAAAATTCAGACCTTTCTCCTCTTATTAACCCTGATCCCGGGTGAGCCCTAAAAGAGGAAAAAAAGATCCACTGATTCAGATCAACTACTTTGATGAGTTTGATCCTAAATTGATACTCGTCTTTGGCCATGCTAGTGACTTATAAAATTGCATATTTCATGTATTATTATCATTTTTGGAATTATTTACTTGTGACCTTGAGCTGATATAATTAGTCTACTCATGACCCATAGAGAAATCCGTAGTTGTGAACATTTTTTTTTTTTTGAAAAATTAGCATCTATTTATTAAAATAAAATAAGGAAAGGGGTGCCCATTAGTTTTTTGGAGTATCCAATATCATGTTTCTATCCTGTTAATTGTAGGTTCTTTGGATTTAAGTTGTTGATACTATATCATGAATATCGATGTAAATTTATGGTGCTTGGCTTGGTGTGTTTCAATATGCTATTGTTAGCATTTTTAGTTGATTCAAAGTTATCTCAATCTTTTTGTTCTTTCTTTATGAATCTCATGGGACCAGGTTGATTACATGTCAAGCTTGTATGTTTTTAAGAATCTTAGGTGAAAGATTGCTGCTGTAGGTATTCCTCTGATCAGAATTCATATGGATGGATGACTTTCAACTATATGGACTCTTTTCTCTTTCTATTTCGTCAAGTATATTAAGATTTCTCCTTTTTTTTTTTAATTTTTTTTTTTTTGACGGACCCTTTATATTTTGGCAAGGATGGGTACAAAAATCCCTTTTCCTTATCCAGAATGTGAGTTATAAAGGATTGAGGAGGCAAGTTAAGTAAAAATTTTTAGTTGATGGAAACACATACTCCCCTAATGTTTAGGGTGTCTAGAATATTGATTACGGAGTAGTATATTTTTTTTCTATTGTTCAAAATTGGATTTTAATGATTTATGCTTGGTATTTTCTATGCATTGTGAATAATTTATTACATGTATTATCCTGCATGTTGATTCTATTATGCATATAATGCAGGTCTTAGATACCCGTGGTCGCTTGCTAACAGCTCTAGGCTATGGTCTGTGGCCGTCAATGGTGCTGCTTTCTGAAGTCGTTCAAACTTTCATCTTAGCAGATTTCTGCTATTACTATGTGAAGAGGTAAGTTTTTGCCCAAATATCTGATAATTGACTACAATATTATTTAAACTTCATCAACTTGTTAATATCGTGTGCAGCCTTGTTGGTGGACAGCTTGTGCTACGCCTTCCCTCAGGAGTTGTATAAATTAAAGTTTAGCTATGCGAGATCAGAGTAGAAATACCCAAAGGCGTTAGTCAGGTGCTCTTTGTTAAATCCGCCTTTTTGTCACTGTGAATTTCCTGTACAAACAGCGTTGTCATTTCCAGCAAGTACTTGTGAATTACTGAGGAGGTCCTAACCATGGATTTATCTGTTCTGGGAAATACATCTCATATGAACTTTTGTACTGTGAATTAGACATTCTGTCTTGTGTTGCTTTTAGTCTTAGTTAGAACTTTTAGCTTACCTTCTTCAATCGTCTCAAGGAACTTTTCGGCTGGTTATCAATATGCTAACATTTTGAAAAATCTGATTTCCTGTTTTTATTATCTGGTTTTGTAGCAAAGCGATATCTTTAGCTTCTAAAGTCGTACAATACCAATATTTAGCAGATTTTGGTCTTTATTCATGGATGCTCTTGAGTCTTTACTAATCACTAAAAGAATATAGTTAGCAATACCAATATTTCTCAGATTTTGATTTCTAAGGGGTAAATCTTTACCAGGGTAATATGGTTACACTAAGATATTATAATATTCTAGGGCGAGTTATACACTCTTTTTAATTAATTGTTCACTTGCTTTATTTAAGAGTACGTTTGGGATGTATAAGAGGCTGGATGAGGGGCCTAATTTGAACAAGTAAAGAGCAAAATCATATCAAAACTCCGGTGAGAAATGCAAAGCTTAGAGGTCTAAAATGCATCTCGCGATAAAAAAGTAAGGGTTTAGAGTTGTGTTTCAAGGGGTGTAAATAAGATGAGCGAGTTACCATATTGTTCATGTTTTGGCCATTCAACATAATCTTGAGTGGCCTAGCAATGAAAAATGCTTATAAGCTTGTTAAAGCTTTGTTCATTCGTAAAATGCTACCATTAGCATTTTGAGTGGTGCCGATACAATTTCTTGTCCAGTGGCAATTAATTGAGCACTAAGCTACTTGGGATTAGTCGAGGAACTCTCTGATGCTTAAGTTATGACAACAGTATTGTAGTTCTGTAAGTGATGTGATAGCGCGTACCTTGATGTGTAGTGGGGCTATGAGAGTAATTGTAGATTTCTCGTGTGCATGGAGAAGATGTGGTGCCCTTTGGCACAATGAGGGAGTCCCAAAAAATCTCCATATTGATGCCGACTTCAGGATCAGGTGCTAGTATGCAATGTCTAGTATTCCCTCCTGGGCTCCTGCTGTAGGTCAATATCACCTGTCTGTCTTAGGCACTTATCCTTGCGTGTGGCCGGTGTGGGCATTTGGTATGGCCTTGGTAGTCCCACACCTAGATGCCGATAAACCTCCTAGTATACGTACCCGTACAGATGGCAAATAGCGATTTAGATGCAATCACCAGTGTACAGGACTCCTGGCCCCAGAAAGGGAGGACTACTATAAGTACTATTCAACCTTTAATATCTTCTGTTCAGATTCTTCAATCTTTTTCTGTTCATTTTAAGAACTAACAGCCAATTGCATAAAAACAATAGGAAATTAAAATAATAACAAAAACAAAGAAATCGTGGTAGCTGTAATGAGGAATGAAATTATTAATATTCTCTGAAAAATCATTCTAATCCACAACTAAATAAGACTGTAGCAAGTGAAAGGGCTACATCTAGGCAATCACTTTCCATGTTAAGTTTATGTTTGTGGATGTTTTCACTGATATTTCTGTAGGTCACATATCTATCATTGGCCACAAGAACACCTGAAGCTTATCATCATCTGTAGTATCCCCGAAACAGAACTGCCAACTGTCCGTCCTATAGCTGTACTCTCGACCAAAGCTCGATACTTTCAATATTATGATTAATTCCGGATGGAGAGAGTCGTAGTTTATTAGGTTCACTTTAGCATGTTAGCCATTCAGCTATTTGGGTGTGAAGTAACAATATCATACAAAATTATAAATGAAATATATGAGGTGTAATAGATTAGATTGTTTTAATCCATTTCTAATCATGAATTTTCCGGAGAGTTTGGGTTGATATGATACTTGTAATTATTATTCCGATTCTTCTGATTTTCTGAACTTGCATGCACTACAAACTTGTAATAAACCCTTCAAGATGTTGCATGTGTTCTGGATGGAGATTAAATTTGTAAATTTGGAGATTTTAAGATTGTTTATGAGTTGAACATAGATTTGTTCTTTCGAGTTTAGGACTTTTTAGTACGCAAGTTCCTTTTGTATGGATATGGAGCCACAAAATCAATAAATATAGACGAGATTTGATCTCAAGTTCCCTCCCCCAAAGATTTTAATCAATTGAACAAGTATGAACTTAGTGTGTTCCAGTAAATATTACTAGTTTCTCGGTTTACATAGTGATTGTCTTACTTTCTTTAGAATACCTATTGTGGTCTGAATAATGAAACATCATTGATTTGTCGTGCACTGCTAGGAATGGTTTATTGAACATATATTTATTTGACTAGATGACCCTAAAGTAGTATATACTTATTAGATAATGTATCCAGTGTGGCAGTGTTGTTGAAGGTATTCCATGAAACAAGTTTATCAAGTGTATTTCAGATATTGAATTATTGATCCATTATATCATACAATTTGAACTATGTAACCTATCACCCCGTGACAGCTGAATGGCGCTGTGAGAGGGCGGTATATTTGGTGGTTTGATCTTGTACTGTTATCTGTTGACCTGCAAAGGATTGTTGAGCAGGGGTTTAATCAATGGCACAATGTGTATCCTCAAGGGATAGGCGCGATTGGTGGTGATGAAGGAAATCCCTTTGTTGGATCATAGTGGTGACTATTAAAAAATGTGTTTACAAGCCCTGTAACAAGACCTAAACCATCTTGTAACTTCACACCAAGCGATCAATGTTGTTAGCAAAATCATTGAGATGAACAAAGTTGTATTGATTCTAAAGATTATTAGGCCTAGGTTTTTTGCTATCAAATCAATTGTTTCAAAAATTCACTGCATTTAAATTTAATTGCTTGCACAAAGCATCTAAAACATGAAGGATGGGGAACTAGGTATAGGATTAATAATCATTGATGTGATAATCTAACATAGGAACAAACATAGTTCACATATAACTCCATCCAACTGGATTGTTGAACCTTTTCACAATCAAGAACTAAAGGAAAAAAACAGTGTGGAAACTAGCTAGATCTTTAACCTATGTTATAAAACCAAGTTACATTGTGTGAAACTCCTTGAATTAGTGTGCATTACACCAATCATATTTCAAATTGTCACAATGATGACAATCTTAAAACATTGTTCACCTTACCTTATTTTGACTTACGGAGTATTTTAATTTTGATAAGATTATCTGTTTATATAAGTTCGGATAAGATAAGATAACTCCTTTTAAAACAACCAAACCTAAATGTAATGCTTCAATCAAATTTGCATAATTATTTCAAAGAGGTGGATTTACTTAATATCGTAGAAGATATATGAGACTTTATTTTCAGATTTTCATGACGTTCAAGTTAAGTGTACTTATCTCTAAGTACAATAAAGTTTAGAATAGTATGCATGTTGACATTGTCCGTGAAATGTTATCTTTTTAAGAGATATATGTATATGTACATAGTTACTAGTTAGAGACTGGTGTACTAAAAATGAAACAACACTATAACCGTGTGATACACAGAAGTTAAGCCAAACATTCATGCAATTCAAATTGGAATTAATTTATTTAAATCTGCATTGGAGGTTGAGAAAGCAAGCAATAAAGACCACACAATAATAAATAGGAAGTAGGAAAGTTTTTTAAGAGTGACTTTGGCTAAACAATTCATCAACATCAGGTGAAGGAGAGATACTAGTCACTTGAAAAATGTCTATTAAAATAGGGGGTACAATTGATATTGAATGAGCTGAAAACAGCTGGGGTGCCACACTCATATTATGTGACATATTCCCTAACTCTATCACATACAGCTGTTTTAAAATGGCTTCTTTTGAACTAATTTCTACTCCTTTTTGTCCTTCATTAACTTGCCTCCCTAGTCTCTAGCTAATTAGCTAGTTCCTAGTCTTAGTCTTCATCCCTCCAAACGTGTACGTCTCTCTCATTTCAATTGTTTCGTTGCATATATGACAAACACCATCTACTACTATTACTATTAGAGGATTAGGATCGGAATTGATACTTGATAATCCTTATCATAATAACTTAGCTTTATGTATCCCTCGCTCTATGAGGAACTACTTGAAAGTTGTTAAGTGAATACTAGATAGGAGTGACAATTGATGGAGTTGATCACGAGTTGAGTTGAGTTGAGCTTGACGTACGGATTGGAGTTCGATCTTTGCATCAATCTGTTTAAAACTTTTTTGATCTTTAAAATATTAGGCTCAACTCACTCAATTCAAATTGAAAAGGCTTCAATTGTAATTATATAAAATTTCTTAGTTAGTGTTCGAGTATATTTAACCATATATTATGAATAGTGCATATAACATAACATATTTGTGAAAATTCCCTTTAAACCTCTAAATTACCCGTCTCTTTGTTGCAAATTACTAAAAAAGGTCATCAGTGTATGCACTGTTCACATATAACTGCTATTATATACGTAGTAATACAATCCCTTGTGAAAGAGATAAAAAGTAAGTTGTGTAAATTGGATTGATGGGGATATAGCTAGAAATAATGAAATAATAGCATGGATCCTTTTCCTACGAGGAAGTTTTTATTCCTTCCATTCTTAAAAACTCGCAATAATTTGACCATCACATACACCAATACACAAGTTTTAGCTTATATATATGCAATTTGTTAGAATTGTTACTAATAAATAAAAATTATGAAAAGAGTAATATTTGAAAATGTAGATTGAGATTAGTCCCAACAACATATTACATAATAACATTTGATTTTTATGTATTCGTAAAAATTAAAAATTTAGTCAAAGTTAATATATAAAAATTTTAAAATTAAATTGTTGCAAGTATATAGGAAAGGGGAATATGGTTACTCAAAAAAGTGAAAATTATAAAGCAATTACTCATCGTAGGAAAAGGATCACATTGTTTAAAATACTTGGAGTTTCACATTGTTTCATCAGAGGGAAAACAAAATTACAAAAACTATCACTCCCCCCTCCCCCAAGGAAGCCCCAATTTATCATCACAATAAACAAAAATCGTTAATGTACTGACATTTCTGTAAATAAATCAATAAAGAATCTCAGTCAGCATGACATTTTTTGTATGATAAATCAACATTTTTGCGTGGAATCCACATTAAATAAAAAATTATTGATTTATTTAAGAAAATATCAGTTGATAAATATCATGATAATAAACTTGTATTTCTCCCCTACCACCTTGCTTCTTCTTCTTTTTTTTTTTTCGTTTTGTTTTTGTTACTCCATAAATTTTTATTGATGTACTCACATTTCATTTTTAATAACATATGCTATC